ATCGCCTCCGTTATTGTTGTGGCTCTTATTGTTGCTGTTCTTATTGTTTTTGTTCTTATTGTTGTGGCTCTTATTGTTGTGGCTCTTATTGTTGTGGCTCATATTGTTGTGGCTCTTATTGTTGCTGTTCTTATTGTTGTTGTTCTTATTGTTGTGGCTCTTATTGTTGTGGCTCTTATTGTTGTGGCTCATATTGTTGCTGCTCTTATTGTTGTTGTTCTTATTTTTGTGGCTCTTATTGTTGTGGCTCCTATCGTTGTTGTTCTTATTGTTGTTGTTCTTATTGTTGTTGCTCTTATTGTTGTGGCTGTTATTGTTGTGATTCTTATTGTTGTTGTTCTTATTGTTGTTGTTATTATTGTTACTGCTCTTATTGTTGCGGCTCTTATTGTTGTTGCTCTTATTGTTGTGGCTCTTATTGTTGTGGCTCTTATTGTTGTTGCTTTTATTGTTGTGGCTCTTATTGTTGTTGCTCTTATTGTTGCTGTTCTTATTGTTGTGGCTCCTATTGTTGTTGCTGCTATACTTGTGGCTCTTATTGTTGTTGTTATTATTGGTGTTGCTCTTATTGTTATTATTATTATTGGTGTTGCTTTCATTGTTGTGGCTCTTATTGTTGTTGTTATCATTGGTGTTGCTCTTATTGTTGTGGCTCTTATTGGTGTTGCTCTTATTGTTGTTGTTATTATTGGTGTTGCTCTTATTGTTGTTGTTATTATTGGTGTTGCTCTTATTGTTGTTGTTCTTATTGTTTTGGCTCCTATTGTTGTGGCTCTTATCGTTGTGGCTCTTATTGTTGTTGTTCTTATTGTTTTGGCTCTTATTGTTGTGGCTCTTATCGTTGTGGCTCTTATTGTTGTGGCTCTTATCGTTGTGGCTCTTATTGTTGTTGTTATTATTGGTGTTGCTCTTATTGTTGTTGTTCTTATTGTTGTGGCTCCTATTATTTTGGCTCTTATTGTTGTGGCTCTAATTGTTGTTGCCCTTATGTTGTTGCTTTTATTGTTGTTGCTCCTATAAATTTAAAAGCGAAGAAAACTCCACAAAAATTCAGCATTTCTCTGTTGAAAACGTTTCGGAGACCAGCTTCACCGTCAGTTCGATAAATCTAGAACACAAATACAGTCAGAAAATTAATAAAGTTTGGAGTCATAAGAAAAAAACAACAGAAGTTAAATCCTAAATTTACCGGCAAAGTATTGTGTTTGCCTGTAAATTTAGGTTTTTTTTCTTGACTCCAAACTTCATTAATTTTCCGACTGTATTTGTGTTCTAGATTTATCGAACTGACGGTGAAGCTGGTCTCCGAAACGTTTTCAATAGAGAAATGCTGAATTTTGTGGAGTTTTCTTCGCTTTTAAGTTTCTAGTGAATCGGCGATTCAAGCAATCTAGTGAAAGTATTACTGTTTTTGCTCCTATTGTTGTTGCTCTTATTGTTGCTCTTATTGTTGTTGCTCTTATTGTTGTTGCTCTTATTGTTGTTGCTCTTATTGTTGTTGCTCTTATTGTTGTTGCTCTCATTTTTGTGGATCTTATTGTTGTTGCTCTTAAATTGTTGCTCTTATTGTCGTTGTTCTTGTTGTTGTGGCGCTTATTGTTGTGGCTCTTATTGTTGTTGCTCTTATTTTCGCTGTTCTTCTTTTTGTGCTGGTTGTTGCCTTCGTTGCCTTTATGTTATTAAATTGTTGAAAAAAAACAAGAAGCGCCATAGACTAAATTTAAAGAATGAGAAATATGCATTAATATTATGCGGAACAGAAGGCTTCTACATGATTAAGTTGTGCAAGCAATTGTTGTTGTTCCATGTTGATATCAATCAGTTCTTGTGGCAATCGTTCGCAAGGTTTCTAATAAGCTGCTCCTAACTTTTCAAAATTTTAAATTCTGCAATCTCTCTGCAAACGAATTTCAGGTGTTTGGAACGAATGAAAAGTGAATAAAGTTCTCAGTCATGTGGTGACCTCAATTTGCGTTCGGTTTTTGTGTTTCTTTTTAAATAGTATGAAAAAATTATTGAAGCCAGCTACATGTTTTTATTTTTTTTTGGTTTTGAATTTCCATGAACAGAAGCCGCGTGCAAGTTTAACTCGTTGTTGTGAAGGCAAAGTGAGTTACATGGATGTAGTTAGGGTGATTAAGTTACAAATATTAAAGAATTTATATTGCATGGTAGGTAGGATGCGTGATCGCTGTCAGAGTGTAGTGAGGACTTGAAGGAACAAGCCTAACTGGTTCAGTCGAGGTTAGCCAACGCGTGGGAGGCGGAACACAAAGCGGAGATAAAAACTGTTGTATTCTTCAATAATTAATCGGATAAACAGTACAAGTCAAGCCACATTATGCTATCGCAAGGTAATTATGCCCAAGTTATGCTACGTTGCCAGGAGCACATGAGGACCGAATACACGAATTCTAACTTCGTGGCGGAGACAATTTTTTTTACTTTAATTTGTTTTGCATGAGTTTTTTAACATGATTTCCTGCCAGCAGGAATAACTATTAATAATTTCAGAGAATTGTGTTATACCTTCACGGATTTGCGGGCGTTCCTCAATTGCCGTGACTGGCTTAGAATGTTTCTATGCCTGTTATGCCTGCTTGATGTCGGAATTGTTCATCCAGCTGTTGAAGGATCCGCTGTAGGATGTCAATAATTTACTTGCTCTTTTCTCTCAAAATTTAAATGGATTTAAGCGCATTTCCAGTACCTTAATATAAAAGGCTTCTATGAATCATAGTATTTTTTTGGGTACGGGATAATTTTAATCTATTTTATTAAATAGTAAAATTTATTATTAGTCGTCTGTGTGAAAATCTCAGACTGGTTAACCTAATCAATAGTTCCCCATTCGAGTTTTAAATGTCCTTTCAAAAATTTTACTTTAACTTAAAACCTTAATTTGATCTTGCGGAATTTTCCAATCGTGATGCATTCGACTCAAGTACTGATTGCTCACCGTCAGCACCGCGTTAAAGATCTCAATGTTTTTATAAACGACTCACTATCTTGATGCCATTCAATTTGGTGCTTGTTTTCAGATAAGTTGACGATTTGCCTTCGTGAATTATTCTCGATTGATGAGAGAAGCTGCTTACCGCGTTTAACCCTCTACCGCCTGACATGAGTAACCTTAGCAGTATTGTCACAAGCCTACTTCCCAAAATGGATACGTTCTAGTGAGCGTAAAATAATTTGCAGTGATGGCTGCCGCCATGAACGATAATTTTAAAATGTTCTCTGTTGCGTACAATTGTCCTCAGTCTGCTTTACTCAATAGTTTACGAATAATTCAAGTTGAAAGTTATGTTCCCGAAAAGTGACATACGGCGTTAGAGGGTTAAATTAAAATAAACTCTTGGTTGGCTTTGTCCAACATTCCATCGGGTTCGCCCTCCAATTCTTGTCCCAGTCGTAAGCCGCGGCGTCCCTTAGTTTCGTTCAAGCTTATCACGTTTTTAGAGCAGGAACTGTCAAGCGCTTAGTCTAATTAAGTCTTCAGCCTGCTGACTAAGTCTTGTCTTTGAGACTATAGGCCTGTGAGAAGATAACGATGCTTGTGTGTTGGCAGCCGAACTTTAAACAATGGATTTTAGTGGACTTAATACAAGAGTCGAATTAGTCGATAAATTTCGGAATTTTTGAACAAGTCTGTTAAAATTACGGCCAATGTTTCTCAGGTGCCCATCAACGAATGTCGCTCCCGCGTATAAATCTTCAGAGTATCAAAAATATCCTTTTCGTCCTCAAATCTGATTTCAAAGTTGTCATGACATTCGTTACAAGCTGTACGTAGTGGTTCTCAGAGTTCGTGTACTGAATAGATTTAGTTTATTCCATGTTTTGCGTTAATGCAACTACAAATTCACACTATCCATGCAGTTTAGGATAGGGACAAAATCCATATTATTCAGACTCATTGGTGGCGCCTACATTTTGCTCATCCAGCCACGTACGTTACAGTAGCTGAATGTTTGAGTTTGAGCGAGAAACTGCTTCATTCACAACAAACTAAATTTTCATGTCAATTTATTATCCTGTGATTAGAATGACAAAGATTTCAAACCTATTATCCTGCTTTGAAAAATTTTCCTTATCATGTACGTTTACTTTCAAATTATGTGTTTCAAAATTAATGTGCTGAATGTAACGGATAACTTTCCTCTAGCAAAAGCAACAGACACTTTCGTGCATGCAATACGTTTACTTTACGCGAAGATGGTTAGGCATATCTTTACTTTGGTGATCGGACTTAAGTTTATAAAATTTAAGAAAACTTCTTGGAAAATCTTTGCCTTATCCTTTACGACCAAAGATTAACGTCCATTTGGTTGACTTGAGTAATCATTATCAACTGGGAGCTGTCGGTCCTGAGTTGTAAACTCATTTTCCTCTTCTTTTAATGTTCCTCGCTTTCGAACTTCTAGTAATGTCATTGCGAATTAGACTCCTATGTGAGTTATCACTTCCGTATTTTATTTTATTATTCATTTTATTATTCCCCTCTGGCTTTTCAATGCGTTATGAGAGGTCAGGATTGATTATTTACATTAATTAAGACTCGTATATCAGCACCGCACAGCATACCGTAAATTGGAGGAAGTTCCTCTGCTTCGCAAATATGTCCTACTTGAACAGGCGTCTAAACTAAAACTTGTTCTGCAGTGAATTAGTTTAAGGGATTTTGAATTATTCACCCATAACATTTTTCATTGTCGTGAAGGTTATCGACTCCCCGAGCGAACTTGTCGTTGTTTTGACCCGGTTGTCCTTCTTACAATATTGGCGTTATCTGGATGTGTTTTTTTCATATGGATTATAATATTTCACGGATTACTGTGACACTGAAACAAATCTCAACACCTCCGTTACATTTAATCTCCATTTTTATTTATTATATATTTTGATAATATCAAAATATATAATAATATAAGAATTACGGTTTGTAATCGATCTCTGTCAACCGAACTAATATGTGATTGTAATTTTCAATATTCCAGAAGCTGCCGAGGTTCCAGGCGACGGCAAGGAGGCTCTGGCAGGGTAAGCAACTCGTGACAGAAATACTCTAATTTTTTCTCACTCGGCGATTGAACTTATTTTGTGGAGCAAAATCTATAAAACGTCATAAAATTACAATGGCACACGACAGCATAAATAATCTATTTAATTTAACCGCTTTATGCTATGTACTGACATCATATCCTCCTACGGTTCTGTCGATAATTTATTTCTGTAGTTTACTTGCATGTATAATTTCACGATTAAAAATTGATCCCAGGCAAATTTTACTTTACAATTAAATTCGTCTAACAACATGGATAAAATTTGGCACGTTTTTATGTCGGTATTTCTTCAGACCTTTTTGACGCTACATGAACTCATACATGAATAAGCTATACGAAGTGTGATGTACGTAGTGTGTCTACAGTGATAAATGTGATGCTATGTTGTTTCGAATAATTGTTTTTTTTTAATTGCAGTTTTTCATCCGTTTTGAATTTTTATCGTTCAGTAATAATGGACACAAATGATTAATTTCTAGTCCCGATATTCGATCAAGCCATGATATATTATGATATATTAATCAAAATCGAATAAAAACTAATCAGAGTCGAAAAATCTGTAACTGTATTTAGTGACATTTCTGAAGTGAATTTATACGGTATTTAGTGTGGCTGCTGCAATATTCATGCAACCGTATTCAGTGTGATTACTGCATTTGATATTCAACCGTATTTAGTAATATTAGTGCAAAGAACATGAAACCGCATTTAGTGAGATTACAGCAAAGGATTTAAAACCGCATTTAGCGAGATTATTGCAAAGAATATAAACCGTATCCAGTAAAATTACTGCAAATAACATGAAACCGTATTTAGTGAGATGTCTGCTGAGACGGAATTTTCTCTGCATGGGATTTCTTTTTATAAACGATGGTTCACTCCCACAAAATAAGTTCCTTCGTTATTCATTAATTTGTGTCTCTCTTTTCTTCACGCTCTAACAAGTCTCGTTCATGTAGCATCACAATGTCTGTGCTTGCCGCCCTGAGCTTCTTGTCTTGGTAGGTTGTGGGATTAAGGATAGTTGCGGGGATGCCACAACAACACGTGTCGGCACGCATCGGTCTGTTCTTCGTAGAAACCCTTGACTTTGGGGATCAGAATTCTCAGAAATTTTGGTGTTTCGGCCAGTAAAGCACAATCGTTCGCAGTATTTTCGTAATTCAATTTCATCCGAACGATTTTCACATGTCTATGAAATTAGTCTCATTGATTTTGGTTGCTAGATTTCCACTAAAATTTGTATTCCCTCGACGGGAAAGTGTTTTACTTCTCTTTGACCGATCAAAGCAAACTCAACTCATAAATTTCGAACCTAAATTATTTTCTTCATTAAATTTTTTCCATGTGAGATATGCTAAATTCAAAAAAGCATAATGGAATCGTACCTTTGGTACTAATTGACCTTACAATCGACTTCAATACGTTGAAATTCGCATTTATTGGTTTAGCTGTTTTCTAACAATAATTAAATCGTCATTGCATGATTGGGAGGTGCGTAGTTTCCTTTGACATTTGCACGCGGTATACGCTTTCTGAAAACATAAAGATAGAAGAACATTAAAAAATATTATGAAATACGCAGTTCATATGCTAATATTCGACAAATAATAAGACAGGCAAAATAATAAAAATTTCTTTCACCCTATTTCTCATATCTACTAACAATAGAAAGCCTTTCACCACACACTTCTTTTAGTCTAATTGAAGGAAATTTCCCCTTCCTAGGATCAGCTCTACTTTCTTGCAGTTTGGCAGTAATTCATATATATTTTGTTCATCCGTTGTTTTCTCTGTGCATTTTTTTGCGTTCAATGCTGTTAAATAAACCACATGTTCGTTTTACCTGAAGTGTGTATCAGCAATAATGATCACGACGATATTTTGAATACGTTATAATAAACATTAAGTAATACATCAATCTAATCGTGATCAGTATTAACAATTTGCATAACATGCATGCACCTACACCACTTTCGACCGCAAGCATGCATAATATTATGCCTGAGTGTAATGCTTCAACACCTGAAGCAATATGAGGCCTTGTAAGCTGCGGATGAATACCATGCAACAGCTGACACGAGAGACAAGGCAACGTGAGAGGCTTGAGCTCCACGTGTATTGTATCGTCCTATAAGTACGCTAGAAGGATGCGCGTTTGGCTTGGCAGGATATGCAGCTTGCTAAGGATTGGTAATGGGGTTGTGAGGTGCAAAGGTGTGTTACAGTACAGTACGCACTGAACATGGAAGTATAAGCGTGTGTTACAGCACCTAAAGAGCATGGAAATATATGCGTGTTTTGCAGCAAGCAGTGAACATGAAAGTATAAACGAGTGTTGCAGCAGAATATGTGTGATGCAACACAGTGATAGCTTGGAATTAAGCGCTTTTTGCTACACGCAGATTGTTTGGAGGCAGATCCGCGTGTCACAATTTACTAACATCATTCACTCATTGCCTTCATATTGACTAGTACTCTATGCAACCTATATAATCTCATGTTAAAAAAGTCAGTGCGCATATATTTTGCGTACCATAATTCATTTAGTATCAATTTTTCTCATTTTCGGTAAAAGGAATCCCGCGCTAACAGAACAGCTTCACGTTGGATGTAGCCTCTTGCATGAATATTCTTTTCCAAGTTGAACGTTATAAACGCGTTGCTGAGTTTGGTACCCAATCATTCAATTATGCGATGGAAGCGCTTTAGTTTCTTATCTTTCCAATATTCTATAAGATTGTGTCTGGTTCACAGGACGAAGGAGCCTCGTCTCATGGACCAACAGATCATTAATGCCTACCAACCGCCCGACGCTGCCATCCTGAGACGGATAAACAGCAAACTACTGCCTGACGACAAACGAGTCAAGATAAAGCCAGAGACAACCACCAGCACTGAGCCGGTGACTGCTGCTGTCCCCACGGTCGCCCCAGGGGTCCCTGAGACGCATAAACCTGACCGTCAGCATCCGCACAGAAGGCGGCGCAAAAGGAAGAGAAAACGCGGAAAAGGGAGGAAGTTGATTCGTAGCAATTATAATTCAACGCAACTTTCTGAGGTGACAAAATGGATTGAAGTTAAAAAGAAATTTTATTTACAAATTTATTTTTACACGCATTGTTTTATATCTTGGGACAGGTTATGGGTTCTAATAAACATTACCTATAATTTTTTTGAACTAACATGAAATGTCGCAGCAGTCAAGAAAATATTTCAACTTCGGTTTTATTTTTCAGAATTAAATCATAACTGAGTGTCAAACCATATCGCAGTTACAATCAAATGAATCTATGTATACACTGTATATTACTAGTGAATGAATTGTTTACCATATTCTTTTTTACTTTTTTGCATATTTTGTGGATTTTTGATTCGTTTTAGTGTAAAAATACGCCTTTACCTGATACTCTTATGTCTACAGGGCCCGTTATCATCGAATAGATAAAATCGGTAATGTAAAATGTTTAGAATGGTTAGTCGGATGAAAGTTGAGTAGAACAACCGATCGGACGGACCTTAGTAACCTGTTATTGAGCGAACACGAAGATGAGTAAATCTAGCTTCTCCGTTGAAAAATAATTTCAAATCTGTGCATTTTTCATTGAATAATGTTTTGAATTGTTGCAAAACATATTTTTATTTATAGTGTATGAAGAATATTTCTGTTCTGTTCTGTTAGAATATTTTTAGTGCAATTTCTCTAACTAATTATATGACATCTTTGGTGATGATGCTACGATAACTAAAACGTGATCTAAATTAAGTATAGAAGTCTACCAATTATAAAAATCTGTGCTATTCTATTTCGGTAAGAATTTTTAACACTAGATTTTCTTCGCAGTTTTTCGGGATATCTTTTCTATTCTCAATGTTACGTGGCCATCCATCGTGGCATGGGACTGCTACGTCCCAAACAAATACAAAGGAAACTATTAACTCCTTTATTTTTCAAAAAATCCAAGGCCACGATGCGATGTTCTCAAACAAACGTAATTCCCTCTTTTGAGAATCGAAAATCGTGTTAAGAAGCTTGTTAGTGCACTTGATGGCAGCAAGAGACAAGAAGTGTACCTCAAACCTTTTTATCTCTCACTCGCACAATGCTATAATATCTTGTATCTCACAAGTTTTTTCTCGCCTCGGGGAAATTCTTGTTGGCCTTTGAAGCCTTGAGTGCGATTTTTCCCCTTGAAGCTTTTTGTACAATTTTTTTTCCTTTGAAGACATTTGCTTGATTTTCCCTCACTTTTTGCCTCTAGTACGATATTTTTGCCTCTACTGACAGAACAACACTAGACGAATGCCGCGAGTCCGCACCTCAACCACCCAAGCACCTCCACCCTCATCGTCAACCACATCCTCCACTACCGTCACCACCACCACGCCACTTCCAGCCTCTACCTCACCAAAACCTACGAAAGGTCTTTATCGTAAATTGAAGTGGTAATGGTGCATTATTTATAGTACTTATAAAAGTTACATTTTTTAATTTATGGTAGTCAAATTTCTAACTATCGCACGTTTTCGTCAGCAAAAGTTTCCATATTCCGCATAAACTATTACATTTAATAAAATAATAAAATGGGAGAATTAAGCTCGAAAAATGAGCGGAGGTGGTGTCTATAGTCTAATTAATCGAGTAATTCCCTGCAACCATTGTATAAATGTAGACACAAAACTTTAACCTAGTACGGTGTTACTTACAAGTCGTATCTAATGTTATGCCCATCATCGTTTAAAAATGTTCGCAATCATGTAGCATTTGATTATGTTGAATTTATTTGCTCGAAATTTTGAGCTGAAGATGAAGCTGATCTTCAAATCGTTGTCGCTAAAATTACGATGAATCTTCTTATCACTTTATTTGTTATAAAATTCGCAGTTTATTTCCGATTCAGGCAATCTTGTGATGGATTTCGTACTATCTATATAATTTAATCATTTAGGGAAGTGCCCGGCTAACTAATCTTACCAGTTCAAGTGAGCGATAAAAACATTTACCTCTAAATTTTCCCTTCTGTAAATATTTCAGGAATTGATCCCTATGCGATGAATTAAACAAGCTTTTCATCATAGCTGGAGGTTAGGTTAGTTTCGGAAATTTGTTCTCTTTTTCATGCTTGAATTTAATTCAACGATTATTAGATTTTAATTTGTATTGAAACTCATTATAATAATAAATAGTCTTCTTTTATTTTGGCTAACGGCGGACAAATCAAAGTGGCCAAAAATAATTCATTTTAAACTTTAATCCTCGAATTTCTATCAAATTTTCAGATATTCTGCCTTTTAATAATGCATTTATTTCGTTGTAGCTGGTCGAAGAAGAAAGGAAAAGTCCAAACTGCGACCACTAACATCGAGCGATGCGACTTTATCAACGGACACAAACGACGTCATGGAGATGCTAGGGGCAGGAGCCAGTAGGGGTAGCGCCACCAAGAAGCTCAAGCGACGAGGTCAACGACTCAATGGCGAGACTCACAACCACAGGAAAAAAGGGAATGGAAGGAGACGTAGGAGAAGGAAAAACCGAGTGTTGACCACTCCACCGCCGACTGTCGCTCATTCCGAGGAGATGCAAGTTATCAGTCACGACTCATCTAGCGATATTGTAGGCTTCCCCGAGAATAATGAGGTTAGTACTTCTCCGGAAGATAATGAGGTTTTAGGGTCACATATTGAAGCACCTGCGCGTGAACACCGAGGAAGCGGAGGAAGATCCTCAGCACCAGAAAGAAGTCGCAGCCACAAAGCTCAGGAGCCCGGTGCTAACCCCTTGCTGCTGCTCTATAAAAAAATCGCGGATAAAAAACGTCAGAACAGAGAAGAAATGGACGGCCAGCCAGCTAATGAATACAATGGAGAGGAAGGAAATAAAGGTGATGAAGAAAACAACTCCAGTACTGAAGGAACAGGCATTGAGGACAAAGACTTGCCTACACGAGCCCATGCAGTAGACCCGGTGGTACAAACCAGCGAGGATAGTTCTTCGTCAGCAGTACGTAGGCGTAATAAACTGCTGGACACTGGAAATGCTATCATTCAAACGGACACGGAAGACAGGGATGAGGAGGGTGACAGCGATGAAATCCTTAAGAAGAAAACTCGAGGAGAGTCGCAGGAACTCCCAGAAGGATACCCCACGGACCGCTTTAATACTGAGGATGCAGGATCCCTGAATACACGGTTGGCTGAGACATAACCAGACACACTCTAATATAAAGAATTATTTCTATAAGAATTAATTGCCATAAACTATGAGGCCGTTTTCCTAAATTGGTTGTATATATATCACCTGATTTCATCGTGCTAACGGTTTGATGCACAATATTCCCCTTTTCTGGACAGATTTGTTGAGACGGATGAGATTATTTTCGGTAACCTGGATACGAGCTGCATCATCTCAGCCACAGACGAGCTTTACTTGCCACCTCCGCGCGTCAATAACGCCAGGGTGGCTTCCTACCGCACGTGAGTCCAATACTAGCGGCAAAAAATGAAGGATTTAAGTATAAGGCTAACAATGCATGGATGAATAAATGCTTTCTTAATTCAAGCCGTAATTATTCCTTGCTAGTTACAGTTTTGCGCTAGTTGACGTTACTCGGTTTAACTTCACTTCATCTACCATGAATTTAGCTGTATTAATTAAGCTTGGTTCGGTTAATATTATTCGGTTTTTATTATTTAATTTGTATCCATTTTACATTTTTTCGAATAATAATTTACGTTACATTCAAGTATGTTACACAAATTAGACTCAGCACAAGTTTACTTGATTCAACTCGGGCTATTTCAAATTAAATTGAATGTTTTAACTGCATTCGAATTGCGTGCCTATCAAAACAAGTGTACTAATACATGTATCAAGTTAAATTGTGTTCTGGGCAATAATGTGTTATGCACGATAAACTCTAAAAAACATTTTCATGTAGCCATTCGTCAAATTTAATCTCATGTCCTGATTTGTATGGACTGCTGGCGGATAGAAGGTAATTTATAACAATTATTGCATGCAACTGAAGGTTTTTGATGACGATTACTACATGCGGCTGAAGGTAATTAATAAATATTATTGCCTGTGGCTGAAGATAATTAATAACAATTATCGATTATGGCTGAGGGTAAATAATAACGATTATTGCTTATGGCTGAAAGTTATTAATAACAATCATTCCTTGTGGCTGAAGGTAATTAATAACAATTATTTTTCATGACTGAATGTAATTAATAACAATTATTGCTGGTGGCTGAAGATAATTAATAACTATTATTTCTTGTGGCTGAAGGTAATTAATAACTATCATTGCTCATGATTGAAGGTAGTTAATAACAATTATTGCTTATGGCTGAAGGTAATTAATTACAATTATTTCTTATGACTGAAGGTAATTAATAACTAATACTGTGTGAGGCAGAGTGACCAACCCTCTGGCGCCGCACAACTCGTACCTGGAGGCCGTGTACGAGTGCAACTTCAACCACGAGCTGCGCGAGGGCACGAGCAACAGGCTCTTCTGCGAGCGCGACTCGTGGCTCGGCACTCTGCCCGTATGCGAGCATTACCGTCAGTATTTGATGTGTTGCGAGATATTTGTTGATTGAATGGTTATGATAAAGACATATATTAAAATTTTTCTAACATCATTAGTTATGATATCACCAACAATAAATAATTTTTTACCTGGTTGGTTATGAAATCAGCAGGATCGAAGATTTTTCTCACTTGAATAGTTTCAAAACTTACCCAAGTATTGGAGTTTTGGTATGTTATGAAATCGATTTTAGTGAAGAACTTTGAAGATTTTCATGCGATTTTACAGATTTTCTTACCTTTTTCTCTTATGTATTTTTACTATCAATTTTGGATCAATTTCTTATTTATGTTTCGGGGTATTTTTGCTGCTACTGATATTCTCTCAGATATTCATTAAGTCAAAGAACATTGCTTGCAACTTAATGTCAGTGAATTGCCTATAAAATTATTCATGTGCGTGAGCAGTGGCTCTTAACTAAAAAATAAAAATTTACCATTTCCAGTATAAAGAAAGCTTTAGACACTACGCCTAAGTCAATGACTGTTGCCTTTAAGTGCGGTCATATTATATGAGTCATATTATATATTATATTATTAGGTACATTACAATTTACCTGCTGGAGAAAAATAAACTTCATAGTAAATCATTAAATCCAAAAAATACTTAACGAAGAATCAATAGAAATAAGAAAAGATAGAAAATACTTAACTTAGAATCAATACTTATTATTGATTCTAAGGCCAAATTTACAATAAGAATTTAAAAAAAATGTTACATTTTTACCTTCGCAAAGCATTTTTTGCATGGCAATCAAGCTTTGAACAAAACGTAAACGGGATTTTTTAGAGCGTATCATGAGAAACAAATTTTTGATAGCTATCATATATTTATTCGAAAGGCTAACAAATATCTGCCTGAGCATAATTGTTAGTTTATAACTATGACCGTCAGAGATTCGACTCGTTTCTAGTGCGGCAATGAAAAATCACTGATAATAATAATTTATTTTCCCCTATGACAATTAGCTTAGATTGTACAAGTAGCGAGTACGGTAATATATATATCACAGTGAATACAAGTGTTTGTTACAATTTGCAATTATGACGGTCAGATTCAACTCGTCGCGAGTGCGGCGACAACAACGGAGGCTGTGAGCAGATCTGTGAGCGCTCAGAAGCAGGCGCCTACCAGTGCTTCTGCTACGCTGGCTTCAAGCTGCGCGACGATCGCTTCACCTGTGAAGGTGAATCTATTTAGCTCTTCGGAATATAAGATATTGATAATCACTATGATTGGGCTCGGCTTTTCGAAATTATATGTAATATTTCAAATATAATCTGAGTGATTATGAAGAGTGTTGCAGATGAGAACGAATGCGAGGTTGGGAACGGTGGATGCGACCAACTCTGCGTCAATGAGGTTGGCACACACGCTTGCTACTGCTCCCAGGGCTTCAGACTCGCCACCAACGGCCGCTCTTGTGTCGGTGAGAGGCAAGATCTTTGTTTTGTTGGTATATTATTATTCTTATATATTATATTATTCTATTATCGATATTATTCTTCGATGTGGCAGTATTTCCAGTTGATTTTTCTCATTCTTCTCAAAATAAGAAAATTTATTTCCAGTTTGGTTTTTGTTCTAAATCTGTCATTTCAGCATTCAGTGTCGATTTGTTGTAGATCGAATTTAATTTGTGAAACTTTTTTCTGAGAAGTAAATGTTTCGAGCTTCGTATACAATTAGTAGATTACCATTGAGATCCAATATTCTTCTGATAAAATCTATCTAGGATCTTATGTGAAGTAAATTGTACGGAACCTATATACAACTTATCGAATACAGTTGGGAGAATGAAAATTTATCTAACTAACGTTACGAGCGTAGTCATGGGAAGTCTCCGTGCTTGATAATGAAAATATAGGTTTCAACAAATGATCCTAAGAAATTTAAACAAGTCTATGTTAGATAATTTAATTATTCGAACTGGTTCTCACGTAGTTTTGACTGATATCCCGATATCAAGTTCTAGCTTATCGTTGATGTATGAGCTGGAATCTAACAAGTTTGTCAGTTAATTGTCAGTTCATTGCCGGATCTACACTTGGCAGCAATTGATTCCTTGCAATTTGCAATCATCTCAACTTCAGGACTTGTGGATACCTACAGTTTATTTTGGTTGTCCTCGTTTATAGTTTTTGCGATTCATGAAAATTCAAAGCAAATAATAATTTGTCTATGAATCTCGCAGATAAAAATGAGTGCCTTTTACGCAACGGTCACGGTCCCTGCCAGGACCGCTGCCACAACACCGAGGGTTCTTACTACTGCTCGTGTGACTCCTTCCCAGGTGAGTGATGGGTAGGAGCTCTTCTAACTTTAGTCATAATTTAAGATGATTTTATCTACGAAATTAGTCATTTCTGTGCATAATATCTTAAATCCGTTCCTAAAGCACTTATTCCGTTGATATGCTACTGACCGCCCGCATTCTGTTTTCATGAAAAACGCTCACAGCATATTTGTGCACATGACTTGGTATTCTTCCAATAAATAAAGGCTTTTCGTCTCTCAAACTATCCTAAATTAGGCATGAAATACTGTCCTATTTTGCGATGCAAACAAGACGGTTAATGCTCCAGGTACCCACTTGGGAGCTGACAACCACACGTGTGCTGACGTCGACGAGTGTCAGAACAACAACGGCGGCTGTGACCACATCTGCCTCAACACCTTCGGCCAGATCTTCTGCACGTGTCATGACGGCTACCAGCTCGGCCTCGACTGGCAGTCCTGCCATGGTGAGTTCTTGAAAAAACAACTGGAAGTGATTCTTGTTGTACAAGATTAATTAATTAATTAATCTTTGATAAACCCGAATATAATTTGATATTGATAAACACAACTCGAATTTATACCTGATCTACACGACAAGTATTGATTATTGAGGAACATGACCGGAATTAATACCTGATAAAAAACACGACAGAAATTTATTTCTGATAAACACGATTCGAATTCTTTCCATGCTGGGGGCTAGCAGATCTAAACTTATTTTTTTCCAAAAGAGCATGAACACTAGAATATTCTCCATTTTGAGTGATCTTAAAAAAAGTAATTTAGTAATGATATCATTAAATTGAATACTAATAATAGATTTCTTAGTAAAATGAGATATTTTTCTAATATGCATGAATTTTGGGGGGTTGAGGTTGATGAGATAATGACAAGTGACGACCATAATACTGTTTAATGGGTTCTGGGTGAGATGTGGACGAATGCAGCTTCCCCCACGTGAAGGCGGAGTGTCCCCACGGGTGCATCAACACCCCCGGCAGTTACCGGTGTCGCGACCCTCGCCAGACCGGTCTTGAGGATGTCTTCGAAGTCCGTGAGGAGGAGAAGCGAGGACGAGAAGCGGCAGAGGCTGAGGAAAGAGCAAAAGAAGCCGCAGAGACCGAGAAAAGGGCACGTGAAGCAGCAGAGGCCGAGGAGCGAGCACGCAAAGCAGCAGAGGCTGAGAAAAGAGCACGTGAAGCAGCAGAGGCTGAAAAAAGAGCACGTGAAGCAGCAGAGGCCGAGAAAAGAGCACGTGAAGCAGCAGAGGCCGAGGAAAGAGCACGTGAAGCAGCAGAGGCCGAGGAAAGAGCGCGCGAAGAAGCGAGAGAAAAAAGAAGAGCAGAAGAAGCTGAGAGGAGAGCTGCAGAGAGACGAAGAGCTGCGGAGGAGGCCAGAAAAACTGCAAGAGAAGCAAGGAGGAAAGCCAAAGAAGCTGAGAGACAAGCAGCCGAAGAGCAGCGTTTAAAGGCTGAAGCTGAAAGAATCAAAGAAGAGGAAATTGCTGAGCTTCTAAGAATTCAACTCGAAGAAGAAGCGCGTGATGCTGAAGAGAGAGCTGCTCAAGAAGAGGCAGAGAAAGCAGCGGCCGAGCGATGCGGCAATGGCACCATCTTGTCTGATGATGGAATCCAGTGTTTAGGTCAGTCTAATGTTGAATTCAGTAATTTTGTCTGATATTTAAAAATAACTAAGAACAGTAAATCTTCTAGTACCACCATATGTAATTTACGCGAAAAATAATGCGAATTTAAACATAATTTTGATCGTTGAAACATTATAAATTACCTAATTGTCAACGCGGCTGGTCATTTCGACGTTAAATATTTCAGACGTGAATGAGTGTGAGTCGCTCACCCACGGCTGCTCGCATGCGTGCGTCAACACAGAGGGCGCTTATTACTGCGACTGTCCTCCTGGATACGAGCTCGGCTCTGACGCGCGAGTTTGTCAAGGTTTGTGTCCATCATTCGTTCATAAATTTATATTATAATCAGCGGAACAAGTGTTGACTGCAAACATTCGTTGGTATAGGGTGTAGGCTAAAATCATTACAAAGATCTTAAATCAATGTTATAGCCAGAGGAGCTTGCGTATGTATTGAGCGTAGATTTAAAACGTTAAACAGCTCGTAACTCACTTTCACAGCCAGGGGAAGATGCATAGATAGCAGGAATAATACAGAGGTATAAAAGTAGAATAGATTCACTGCACAGATCGTAACTTTATATCCTAACAAGAAAATCTGAGTAGACAGCAAACATTCATAGGTATATGGTTAAGATTAACTCTTCTGCTCGGGCTGCAATTTTAAACATCTCGGATTATATCTGCAACTGTACAATTAAGGTTTCAAGGAATGTGGTGAACAAAGGAGATGCAGGAATTAAATATAAGTACATATACATACCACTTATTGGTCTGTAAACAACTGATCACTTTAAGAAAGCATCTTTAAAAGTTTTATAGACCCACCAACTGCAAAAATTTCATTATCTGATTATTCAACTATTTTCAAGAGGTAAATTTTGTGTTGAAAGTCTTTGGAAAAGTCTACGGGTTTTAAGTAGAATATTTAAGTAACTTCTGCTCCTATTTAAAATGTCATGAATGCTCATGTTAAAAATTGTATCATTGCAATTTCAAAGTTTTGGACGTAATGAGGTTCCGATGAATTTCAAAATGTACTTATTTTTATTATAAATATATTTGTAGTTCAATTTGAATATCTTGAATGATGCTGGCGTACAACAAATTTTTAAGTGATACACCTACGAATAGTAATAACTTATAAATTCACCCTCAAATAGATCTAAAAATTATATATGTTAGGAATTTACCTAGATAATACCATTCTAGATGCCAATTGAACCATTAAATTGAAAACCAGAACTCATGTTCATTATCATCTTAGAACTTATCATGATCGGTTTTGGCGCTCAGTTTTCATCTTCTTCACTGAATTTAATCGATTCTTTACACTTAGGAAACAAGTTTAGAGCAGAAATAGTTAAATTTACAGGCTAATTATGCGAAGAGCAGTATTTTGAAACTTTGAATTAATTTCTCCTGCAACAGCGTAGAATACGGAAGGGATAATGTATTAACAAATATTCATATCAAAATATTGCATTGCTTCGAATATTTTAAACTAATATTTTCATTTATAACTTAGCTCATATTTGAAACTGACCAAGCTCTCAGGCTGGATTGATCGCGAATATGCGAACAACAATTCCCAGAATTCCATCATGCCCTGCCTGCACAGACAGAGACGAGTGCGGTGAAGGCAGCAGCGGCTGCGCCCACGTCTGCAGCAACACTGAGGGCAGCTACAGCTGCGCATGTCAAGCTGGCTACGAACTGGCGGCCGACCTCCACGCCTGCCGCGACGTGGACGAGTGTCTCCATCTCAATGGAGGCTGTCAACAGGTGTGTTCTTGCCTTTTTTGGCTCCAACTAATTACTCTAATGGATTTCATTAGATTATTCGCCTACTATTGTTTCTTTCATTCGTTTATTGGGAATGAACTTCCAAAATTCCCTTTGAAAATTTTTCTCTAACCTTTTTGAATATAACGCCTGATGCATTCAAAGTTTTTCGATAAATATTATCAACACATGCAAACTGAGATTAATATGCCAACGAAATGTGAAGATATTCAGTTATTGAACCATATTTTTCACCATTTCTCTAGTTTACTTCTCTCTTTCTCCAATAAAAATAGTCAAAATAAGATAACTTTTATTGGATAGAAAATTCAGGGAGTTATAATTAATTGTCTGCATTTCCAGGAATGCATAAACCTGCCCGGCAGCTACGACTGCTCGTGCTCCTCAGGCTACGATCTCGTGGACGACCACAACTGCGTCGACGTGGACGAGTGCAGCCTGACCACGCACGAATGCGAGCATGCGTGTCATAACGAACCAGGCGGCTATCGCTGTTCGTGCTATCCTGGATACGAACTTCATGACACCTACAAGTGCAGGGATATTGATGAATGTGCTACCGAGTCGCGATGCTCGCACTTCTGTTCAAATGAGGGTGGTTCATATAAGTGTCACTGTCCCCCCGGCTTCGTGTTGGGGGAAGATGGCTTCGCCTGTGAAGACGTGGACGAATGTAGCTCTGGTGTAGCTAGCTGCACCCAGCGCTGCAATAACACCGTGGGCGGCTACGACTGTATCTGTAAAGAGGGTTTTGAGCTCACCACCGAGGGGTCGGTCACTGAAAACCAGCGCGTTTGCGTCGATTTGGATGAGTGCGAGCGTGGACTGCACAACTGCAGCCACAAGTGCCTTAACCTAGAGGGCACCTTTGAGTGTGGATGTCCAACAGGTTACAAATTCAATTCGACTAGTGATGATAAATTTAAACAACAATGTGTAGACATCGACGAATGTGCAGAAAATAACGGGGGTTGTGGTGGTGAATGTACCAATCTGATCGGCAGTTATGAGTGCAATTGTCCAAAAGGAATGAGGGTGTCGGAAGGAGTAGTCAAAGAGTGCACAGATATCGACGAATGCGCTGAAAACAACGCTCTGTGTAGCCATATTTGTATCAACCTCATAGGATCGTTTGAGTGTAGTTGTCCTGTAGGATACGAGTTCAATATCCCCTCAGATTATTACGATGATTATGCGGAACCCCAGCAGTCTGCCGAGGCTCAGGCTGGACTGTGGTGGAATACTTGCATCGATGTCGACGAATGCGCCTTCAACAACGGTGGTTGCAGTCACTCGTGTACTAACGATGAAGGATCGTTTGCTTGCCAATGTCCTCTTGGTTGGTCCCTAGATACCGATCAAAAAACTTGCATTGACATCGACGAATGTGCGCAAGGAAATGGTGGTTGTTCTGAGTCATGTCGCAATTCTCTTGGATCTTTTTCATGTTCGTGTCAGTCAGGGTACGAGCTTAGCGGAGGCCTTTGCGTTGACGTGGATGAATGTCTAGCAAATAAATCAGACTGTAGCCACGTGTGCACAAACCAAATGGGTGGATACGAGTGCTCGTGCCCAACAGGTCTCGTACTTGAAGACAATAACCGTACGTGCTCTGATCTCAACGAATGCGGTCTTAACAACGGAGGTTGCTCCCATTTCTGCACCAACTCGCATGGCGAGTATGGGTGCTCGTGTCATCTGGGTTACTCGCTTGGCAGAGACAACCACACGTGTACAGACATCGACGAGTGTGACCTGGAGGACGATGTGTGCAGCGAGACTTGCATCAACACGCCAGGCTCATACGAATGTCGCTGCAGTGAAGGTCTTAAACTGGCAATTGATTTGCGTAGCTGCGTCGATGTCAACGAGTGTGGTGACAACAACGGGGGCTGTTCGCACGACTGTATCAACAGCGAAGGTCGCTACTCCTGTCTTTGTCCTCTGGGTTACGAGCTCGCAAACGACAACCACACGTGTATCGACACCAACGAGTGTCTCGTAAATAACGGAGGTTGCGAATACAAGTGCAGCAACCGTGATGGTGGACACGAGTGTTCTTGTAAACCTGGCTACCAGCTCAAGGCAGGCAACCGCTCTTGTGAGGACATTGATGAATGCCACTTCTACCCCGGTCGGTGTAGGGGCGAGTGCATCAATACCCGCGGTTCCTACAAGTAAGCATTGGCCAGACTCATGCTATTTTTACTCATTGTAATTTCTATCAAAGGAAGAACAGATGAGATCCATATTGTTCAGATGAGAAAAACCGCTTGTGTTATGGTTGTCATACAGGTTTAGTTTTCAAAAGTATAGCAATTTCAAAGAATAAAAAATAAATACTGAACAAGTCACGAAACTTTAAAGTCAAATTGAAGGCGAAATATTATTAATTTATTCCATATAATTTTTCTGTCAGGAAATTTTCAGCAATATTTTTCATTGTTTCAAGATGCACATGCGGCGCCGGCTTCCGCCTGGCTGCCGACGAAGTCTCGTGTGAGGATGTGGACGAGTGCAGCGCGGGCAACGGCGGCTGCTCCCACACCTGCGTCAACTCGATCGGCTCCTTCGAGTGTGGGTGAGGTCTCGACTGATCTCTTCATCAACAAGAAATGGAAAAATTTATAGATTCACTATAATTAGAAAATTTACAGTTTTTATGCTTTAAGTTTTTATATACTGAATATTTTTATTTTTCAAATTTTACATTTTCAGGTTGACCTAGTTTGAATTTTTCGAATTTTGAAATTTTTCAATTTTTAAATGTCACAAATTTTCAGTTTTCAATATTTTAATTTTCTTCAAGTTCGAATATTTAAAATTTAAAATTTTAAATTTTTTTATTTTAAATTTCCCAAGTTGTAAAATTTTTATTTTAGAATTTTTCAAATTTTCAGCTTTAAATTTTTCAATTTATCAGATTTTCTATTTTTAATTTTTCATTTCTCAAATTTAAAATTTTTGATATATACAATTTTTAACATTTTCAAATTTTCCCATTTTCAATGTCTCAAATTTTCAATTTCTCAAATTGTAAATTTTTTTAATTATAAATTTCTCAAATTTTCAATTTTTCTAATTGTAAATTTTTCAAATTGTAAATTTTTCAAATTGTAAATTTTTAATATTGTAAATTTTTCGAATTGTAAATTTTTGAAATTGTCAATTATTAAATTTTCAAAGTTTAACATTTTTGAATTTTAAAATTTCAAAATTTTCAAATTTAAATAAAAAAAAACAAATGTTTGTTCCATGCCGCATTCAGGTGTCCTGGCGGGTACGAGGCATCGAGCGGGGGCGTGTGTTTAGACGTGGATGAGTGCGAGTCCAATCCGTGCCACCACACGTGCATCAATACGCCGGGCTCATACACCTGCTCCTGCAACCCCGGCTACTTCCTTGTGTCAGTAACTACTCAATGTTTTGGCTCCTGCAACCCCGGCTACTTCCTTGTGTCAGTAACTACTCAATATTTTGGCTCCTGCAACCCCGGCTACTTCCTTGTGTCAGTAACTACTCAATATTTTGGCTCCTGCAACCCCGGCTACTTCCTTGTGTCAGTAACTACTCAATATTTTGGCTCCTGCATCCCAGGCTACTTCTATGTCAGTTACTCTTGTATACTCTTGTTCCTGCAGCTCCGGTTACTTCATCTTGTCTGTAATTATTCAATAATTTGACTCTTACAACCTCGGCTACTTCTTTGTGTTACCTTTTAATACTCTCAATACATGCAGCACATTCACTTCCTAATGTCTGAAACTCTTAATAACTTCTACTCCTGCAACCCTTGCTACTTGTCTGCGTCACTAACTCTTAAATGAAATGCACGTATTACTGAAATAACTGATACGAATTACTTACAAGCAAATGTTTGTCAAGATAATGATTACTATAAAGAACCATTTCTTCAGTGGTATGCTCACAAAGTTTTGCAATTCAATTGCTACTAAAAAACGTTAAAAAAACAATGCTTACCAATTAACGCAGGAAAATATAATATTAACAAACAAAAGTTTGTCAGTAAAATGTTTACAAACAAATGTTTTCATGAATAATTATTTTTATTTTATAAGTATAATGCTTACGAACAAACATTTATTGTAAAATATTTACGAACGATCGCTCGTAGGTATAATGCTGTCGAACAAACACGTGTGTCTAAAATAATTTCAAACAAACACGTGTGTCCAAAAGACTTTCAAACAACTACGTTTGCCATCGTAAACTAACTATTGACAGTATAATGTCTTGCACAAACGTCGGTGCATGAGTATTATGATTACAACCGATCGTTTTAAGTATATTTAGCGCCAACTAACTGATTTAGCGCCACCTAATAGCTACATCAAAGCAAAAAATTGGTACATCTGTCACCATGTCAAATGCTAAGGTTGTGGCTTCGAAGTCTCTCAATGTAAAGTTAAATAAATTCGGTAAGTTTGGCATTTGCTCTATCGATGTGTTACTTATTTGTACATAACTTTTGTTGGAATTATTTATACCTTTTATAGTTATAAATAATATGAGAATATGGCTCTTTGTTCGGGGGATTGTTCAGAATGAAAACTCGTTGTGGATTGTAACGGTTTCTGAAAACAAAGAAGGAACAATTTGAAAACAAAGTTGAGGTTATTCGAAATTATAAACAATATAGAGAAAATAATCGAGGTTAACACGCAATAAAATGATCATAACATAAGTAAATGATAACGTACCAAATTGCTGAACAATCTAGGGCAAGTTTGGTTAAAACTGAGTTTAGCCTGAGCTCATCAACTCTGGTCCTACCTAAAAGGTCCCAAGTTCATGTACACGGGAGAAATATGTTCAGTAAAATTCTTAACAATAGTTATCAAATTGATTAATGTAATATTTTACTATAGGAAATTTAATATTATATTTTTGGCACTACCGTAGTTCGCTTCGTTAAGTGTAGATTTTTTGCTTCACTGAGCTTTTCTATACGTAATACATTCTTTCAAAAATCAGATAATTGCGTTGAAATGAACGAAAAAATAATTTTTTAACGAAAACATACAGAGATGCATTTAAATTACTCTTGGCTAAAAATTTATGAGACTAATTCTTTTTTCCGATGGTATTTCGTCCTCATTTCTTCATTTCGTTCTCGTCATCGCTTAATTATCGTCTTGCATGTCTTCGACGAATCCTTCAGTGTTCAAATCCCTGCTGCTCTGCTCTGCTGCTGCTCACAGATTTTATCATTAATCAGAAAATGGGGGTATTTTCTCTTTGCCCACTATGTACCAAAAGTCTACCCATATTTTTTTACTCTCCTATAACTCTCGCATTGTTGCACGGCTTCACTTTTGGATTTTTTGAAATTTATTTACATGAATTTGATCAGGGTTGCAATGTCTTCGACATCATGGTTGCATAATTTATTTTGGGTCGTCGATCCTAAAGGCATATGCTTCAACTGTCGCATGAACGGTATCTATCCACATAAAGCGTCATTTCATCGGATATTATAAATTTGCTTCAGCGCTTCCATGAAATTTTTTCCAGTTTCAATTATTTGTAATTTGTTCAAAACATTGTTTTCCTCTGCTTCTTCTTTCGTAAATGCTCGCCACCGCAAAATACTAGACCATCATAAGACTAATAATTCACTGTCAGGGTTGCCAGAAAAGCCTTTACCTTTTCACGGCCAAATTCAACGATTTGGGCCTTTCAATGATTGCGTTGGCCGTTTAAATCTATGAACGCCTTAAACTTATCGCATTTTTAATTGCTAAAAACAATTGAGGTCAAATTTTAAAACGTTAAAATTGTATTTTTGCACCGAAAATTACAAATTTATGAATAAATAATTAATTTTGGATATTTTGGGGCCTTTTTTGAGATGATTTGGCCGTTTTCTTTTGCCACCTTTTGGCAACCCTGGCACTCGTAGTTACGTAGCGTAGACTCTAAGTGGTTGACGTTCACCAGTGCCCCCAGTCAGTGCTGGGACGTCAACGAGTGCGCTGACAGCAGCAGCGGCTGCGCGCAGCTCTGCACAAACACCATCGGATCCTACAAGTGTTCCTGCAGGCCTGGCTACATACTTGCTCCTGACGGACATTCTTGCGAAGGTGGGTTCCTCTAATGAAGATAAATCATATGCATCTCCGAAGCAGGTTAAATAAATATTCATCATCGAAATGGTCATTTTTAGCACATTTGCTCATTTATTGAAAAAATGCACTATTGTGCTCGCCATGTCCGTCTGTCTGTCCTTGACTTCATGTTTTCATCGACGAGAAAATGCGCTCTCTGTCACTCACTGCAGTGAGTAATGACTTATATTTTTTATTTTAGTACTTGTTTATATATTTTATGACTGTACGACTAGTTTCACTTTCTAGAGAACATTTTTACCTTTCCTGCAGTTCATTCAGCCTCGCATTTACATTTTTCCCTAAAATTTCATAGTCTAAATTTTGCAGCCAGATTTGTTTGCATATTCCATCAATGTAAGGAAATTAATATTAAGGTTATTCATGAACATATGAAATTTTTGCAGAACCTTATACATCTATGCAGGAGAAGTACTATGAAATGATTTGAGTGTGACTGTTGTTGTTGGTAGAAGAGATGATATGCCTGTGGACACTACATCGATCTGTCTGATTTTTGGTGGAGAGATGGAAAAAACATAGGAAGCATATCCTGACCTTCCAATTTTTTTAACTCGATTATTTTTCGAGTTACAGCCATTCAAAGTTGAATAACGTTTTTTTGGGACACCCTGTATATGTGAACCCAATTAATGTCATCCGAGGTTAATTAGGCATATGATCTTCCTGTTGAAAACATTCCTCATGACTACAGCGGAGGCAGTCACATGTGCACCTCCCCACGAACCTGAGGGAGGCGCCGTGAGCTGCGGGGAAAGCCAGGCCCGGTATCCTGCAGGAACAGTCTGCAGCTACAGCTGTGCAGACAACACGACTCTGCAGGGCAGCCTCCTGACCTCCTGCACGACACACGGCACCTGGAGCGCCAGCGCCCCCACTTGTGGTGGTACGAACTGGCACTGCTTGGTATGAATACCATTACTTTTGTCTGACTCCACGGCAGTCTGGTAGGAATAGCACTACCAGGCTGTGAAGTCAACAGTTTTTAATGAACTGAAATAAAAAAATTATTTTGCATCTACGCATGCTAATTTTTTTGCGTTTGCTTCACTATTCACGCAAAGGACTGTTGGATCTGTACTTTCGGGTATTCGAGGAGAAAACTATTTGTATGCGTTAACTAATAGTTATACTAACATCCGAGCTATTTTGTTAATATTGCAGCGAGCATATAGAGATTTCAGAATAAAGAAGTACCTAGTACAAGATACACTATTCATGCGATTTCAGTTTCAAATTTCACAGCTTCTCATGTTCAACGAAGGCAGATTTGATAATTTGATAATATACGCTTATTTCTTCAATGACTAACACCGTACATAAAATCGAACATCATTCCTCACTTTTACGCTGTATTATTATTACAGAACTTTAGCACCTACGAATGAATGAGCTCGACAGACGAGCACAGTTCAAATGATTTTTGTAGAGGCCTCGACAGTGATAAAACTTACAGGATATTTTGCCTCGCAGTGACGAAATGTCAGCCGCTGGCCGCCGCAGTGCACGGCCGCATTGCACCGTCACGATGCACGACCCGAACCTCCACCCCCGGCCAGCACTGCTACGTGTCGTGTGATCCCGGCTACATGGTACGCGGCAACCCGGTCATCACTTGCCCTCACACTGGGACCTGGCCAAGCGTGGCAACTTGTGAGAGGGGTGAGTGTCCAGCGTGGCAACTTGTGAGAGGGGTGAGTGTCTTGCATGGCTACTTGTGAGAGGGGTGAGTGTCCTGCGTGGCAACTTGTGAGAGGGGTGAGTGTCCAGCGTGGCAACTTGTGAGAGGGGTGAGTGTCTCCTGCGTGGCAACTTGTGAGAGGGGTGAGTGTCTGGCATTGAAACTTGTAAGAGCAGTGCGTGTCTATTCAAAATACTCTAAACCTATTAAAATTTGCATGCCATGACACAAACATCATCGAGTTGTGTTCCGAGCAGCCAGCGTGAAGCCGTTCATCCAGTGCCCCAGCGACTACACCGTCCCGCTGCAGCCAAACCAAGGCTCGGCGTACGTCAGGCTGCCGGCACCTAAAGCTAACGTCGACTGGTACAGGTCAGCGTCTTGTGATGTAATTCTAAGTACTAATTTTATTAATTTTCGATAATGGAAAATGAGAATCAGCTGTTTGAATTTTTATTCTGGAATGTTGAACGCTATTTATGGGATAGTTTGAGACTGAATGTGTCTTGTTGTTGTACCGCTTCCATCTTGATGCTAAGATTAAATTCCTTGGCTCCAAAAATGAAACACATTCTGTTTTGGAGAATCAACTGTTGAACTTTCTTGCTCTAATATTTGAGCTTTGACGCTACAGTGATCCAACAAATGATCTTTATGTTTTTATCTAGTTAAAACTGATTTTGAATTGTCATACCGTTGTGATGAATCTTAAATACAACCAAGATGCAAATTTTGGTGCACATGCCAACCCAAGATACAATATCACACGTGAATATATGCCATGGTCGTTGTTAATCGTAAGCATGGCACGCTAATACAGCATTGGTGACTCGAATTTTATAGCGTATCTGGGATTGATTTACTGATCTATAGTAGAAAATATTCTAGTTTGAATTCAATTTATAATGACATATCAGGGTTTGCCATGAATTTTATGTAGAAGCCTTTACCATTAGTAAAAATGTTGTATATAATGAACTTTTGCGCTGTCAAATGCTGGTTTGAATGCATGCTACCAGCAGAGCCACTCAATTCAACTGATCAACGAGGCAGCTGGCGGAATTAGGTATTATGGACCATATTGTTAAATTCTATTCCTGTTCGTAGTAATATCATATTATACGCGTGACTGAAAGTGTTTATAAAAGGATCAATCAACATTAAACTCAACTTTGAAGCGTGAAAAGAGCCATGAATTACACCGTTTTTTCCATCCTGAATGGACTCATGCACATCGGCAAGATATCATGGAAATCTTAATTTAGCGCAATAACTTTGGTAATTGTGGTCGCAAACTAGAACATTATTCTTGAAGGACTAGAGCAGTCTTCAGTTGAGGAGCATCACAAGAAATGAACCTACCTGACTTAACCATATAATACTAACTTTTCGTAAAAGTTATCTGGGATAAACCGTTTTTTTGTACACCCAAGGTGATAAATGTTATCCAACCAACAGATACTCATATTTTAAGAATGACTTACTTGCAGAATTAGGACCCTGGTTCTCTGAGTCAACAAGTTGAAACGAACTCGTAATCGAAAGCGATATGTGTTGAAAAGTGGATAGTCTACCAATAGTTCGCCCTAAAAATAACTCCTGGTCGTTTGAATTTACTTCATTTTGAGTAAATTTCCCTCCCTAATGGTACGTTTCTCAGTGCAGTTTTCAGATAAGATCCGCAGAAGGTCATCTTCGCAGCTCAGGCATTCACAGCCGCAGGTACACGCTTGCCTTTGCGTTGCCCCATGAAGTTTTCTTCACTTGACACTCCATTGCTACCACTGATTTCAACACCACTTATAACATCCCAAAATATTCCTTATCTAAACCTCCTATCTCAAAAGTAATTATTATCTTCTACTCGCTTCATTGATGTTCATGGAGCTTATAGTTTCTTCTACTTAAGATTCAGCTACCATCATTGATGTCCTTGTTCTTGGAGCTTTTAGTTTCGTTTAATTAAGATTCAGCTACAAAAATATCGGAAATGACAAAATGTACTGAAAATATATTAGCTGAAAGTAAATAAATAAAATTTTAAACTTGAGCGTATTTAAGTATTTCCTCTACTGGTCAAGATCGATAATTTGAATGTCCCGGTCTTTCATGACAAACAGTAGGTTCTTCTACCATGAATTTATTGCGTTCAATGAACCTAATGTGTTCACTTTGCGATATTCAACAATGAACGTAAAATTCTAATATGCAAATAAAGAACATTATGATTGATCAATTTTTTTACGGCTCGTCTGAGCAGATTTCCTCACTATAGCTTCGAAAGTCTTTTCATCTTCTTTTTATGTTGCTCTGTTGTAAAATGCATTGCTTACTGTCTTTCTTTTAGGTTCTCTCGACCACTAATTTTTATGTTAAATTCTCCTATTAAATAACTCACACTTCCACAAAATTTTTATCCTGGTGCCTTAAGCAGTTTGACTTCTTGCCCCATGTACCAAGCAAGCTTCCATTTTTTTCGCATTTCCATTTTTCAACAACACTTCAACGTCGTACCAATAAACAACATTCCTAATGTACGTCGCTCGATAAAGGCATGCGTGATGAATATTCTCTCTAAATCTTCATAATAATTATAAAAATCGCCCCTGCTTCGTAGTAATTGATCAAGCGTAGTAATTGATCAAACCTTCTTTGATGACAGCCCTGTGTTCTAAAATGGAGGTTACTCGTGGCTTCTTAATACATCGTGTTTCTCTCTGTACTATTTTCTGGGTATAAATTGTAAAAGAATGGAAAGGAGCCTTCAAAATTTTTACTGCTTCGTTTTACTTCGGACAGTAGGAAATTTGGAAGAAAGACTTCAGATGCAGTGAAATAAAATCATATATTTTAGTGTGGAGTCTTGGCTGCAGGACTGAATAGGTTTGTCATATTCTTTAACGAGAAAATAGTCTAATATATGCATGGATAATCTCTCTGGCAGATGCGTGTGTATCAAAGCGGGATAATCGATCAAGCCAAATCTTTGCTGTAAAACATCTGATACCGTTTTCCATTTAATAGCTGCTGCTAAGACCGCTTTGTGACACCGTGCCTTGTGAAGAGTTGAGGTGAAACTTAAGTTTATTGTTCACGCTTAAAAATTTTTTGAATTCCATTGCTGTTAATTTGAACATTCCTTAACCTGATTAATGTATGATATTGAAGAGAAGAACCGGAATACAAATTTTACAGCTCCGATCGATTTAGTGACTTTTCGCAACAATAATCCGTAGCACAATCAGCTGAGGAGTCGGTGCAAAGAACAACTCAAAGGTTCTGGGGCTGGAGTGAGAAGATGGTTATTGTGACATCCTTAAACCTGTAATGGAGTCAGTCACTCACCACTTGGCTCTGTCAGGAAAAAATGTAGGAATATAGCCGCTGAACTGCTGAGTCTGCTGGCCTTCCGCTGATCCGGCAAGACTCTGATGCACGTGATACTACATGGACTACATGGACTGCTGCTGCTGCGTCCGTGACAGAGATCAGGCTGGGAGTTGCCTCTGACACCACAAGTCTCCAAACAAATTATAAAATAAACTGGACCGCTGCATGTCGCTGACATAGCTCCTTCTAGTTGCAGAAAAGATACTGAAAAATTTCTCGCTTTCCAAAAAATCGATTTTTCACTTCAATTTACTGGAATTTTCATCGATTCTACTGGAATTTGATTTTTCAAGTCGTTCTATTGTAATTTTTTCTTGTGTTCCTCTACGGGCGATGCTAGTCAGTGTATCAATTCATTTTGTAGTTGAATAATTTTCACTACTTTTTTGCCACCTAATTTTTTCTTGCTTGATTAATTGAATACTTGAATTTTTTACAGCTCCGAAAATTTTCTACAATTTTTATCAAGTTTTTAAATAATGTTCTTAAAAAGCTAAGTAATTTTTCTGCTTCCAAACTCACTGCATTTTCAACCTCAAACTATTTGTTTCATTTAGTAAGTTGCTCATATTCTATAGAATATGTTCGATTCTTTAAAAAATGTCATATGGCACGACCAGCTTGGTAGCTACGACATTAAGATACCATAAACCTGATATTAAAAACTGCTGCGTTAAGTGTACTCTTTTTCTTATCTGTAAAAGTTACGTATTTAATTCCAAGAATAATGCTGGAATTAATATGCCGTTAACAAATAAAAAATTAAGTTACTTCTATATATTTTTCATGTGTAGAACTTATAACGATCTCATTGACTCAGTCCGCATCTCCTTTTTTGTTGCTTAATTGTAATCCTTCACTTATCAATTATTTTAGGTCAAAGCTATTAACAGTGCAAAAAATGAACAAGGTTTTGTTCAGAGTCAATGATGGACTACAATTTAAAACCAGTTTGGAAAATCAAATGTTAATTTTTTTGCTGATTCCATTGTCTGCAGAAGCATCGAAGAAGAAATATTTTTAATCAGTTTGGCAAATAAAATATTAATGTATTACTGACGCCATCGCCTGCAGAGGCAACGATGGAAAACCATTTTAAATCATTCAGGCCAATTAAAGATTAATGTTTTATCGAAGCTATCGTCTGCAATGGCGACGGAGAAGGCCCATTTTTTAAATTTAGCCAATTAAAGATTAATGTTTCCTGACGCCAGGTTCGTGGAAGCAAGTCCGTCGTGGGCCAAGGAGCTGGAGGCAGAGCTGCCGGCTGGCCGTACGCGCGTCTCCTTCACCGCCAAAAGCCCCACAGGCGACGACTCGGCCACCTGCTCCTTCGCTATCGAAGTCGTAGGTGGGTGCTTTTTATTGAATCCTTTCTTATGTAGTATTGACCATTTTCCTATGTCTTATTAAACCTGTTAATACCTGATATATAACTTTTTACCACGTTTTTAACGTACTTTCTCATTATTTGTTGACTCCTTTCATATATATTATTTAGCCCTTTTATTGAGTCTCCCCTCCGGCAGACGCTGAGGAGCCGCGCGTGTCGCAGTGTCCGGTGTCGTTCGCGATCTCACTCGCCCCTGGGGAGAGCAGCGCCGTGGCGTCCTGGCAGGAGCCTCACTTCAGGGACAACGTTGCTGTGACTCACGTCTGGAAGTCCATGGTGAGCAAACGATACGAACGACCTCATAACGCCGTATTTAGTCAATCCGTCAAAAATATTTTCGACACGAACGAATTTTTTTACATGTTTAAAATTTGTTTTCGTTATGAACGAAAAATTTTTGATCAGATGTCAAAAATGTTTTCAAAACGAACGAACTTTTTACAAGTCGAAAAAATGTTCGATGTAAACAATCTTTTTTGACAAGTCGTCAAAAATTTTACGATACGAATAAACTTTTGCCAGTTGTTTTTCAATGATTTGACTCGGTTTTTCAATTGACGCTTGAGTTTCTTTATGGTGAATTAAATTAAATAAATTGGAAGGCAATTGGTCGGTGAAAAGAAATAATATAGCAGAGATCATACTTTTTGCTCTATCATATTGAGAAACAAATTTTTCCATTTTTTAAACAAATTCATCTTATTGGTTAACAAATCCACAATATATACAAATATTTAGTGAAAGGGAGCAAATGTGATCCACTACGAGCAGAAGCTGAAAATCTCATACTGCAGGCTCCTCACTAACAGCAATAGAACAAGTTATGAATGGTCGAGTTAATGATATTAAACATTATTTAAATTTTGATTAGAATCTGAAGCCTGAATTGTCTCACGGCAGGAGCCCGGTCGGCGGCTGACTACTGGTACATACCCCGTACACTATGTGGGCAGCGACGCTTACAAGAATCGGGCCAAGTGTTCATTCACAGTAACAGTCCAGGGTAAATCTAACTTCCTATTAACCATGCCAATAGTGATTGATTATCATTAAACCACCATACAAAGGACGTTGATGTAGCCGTTAATTAACGTTTAATGCATCGAAACAACGTTTAGATCAATGTCTGATGTCTGGTGGGTTGTTAGTAGTTTAAACAGCGTGTAAAGTGATCTTAGTAGTTCACTCTAGTGCATTTCTATGTTTCGCATGATCTGTTTTTTTTTCATTTCCTCGTGATTGAAAAATGTAGACGTATTCTTTTTGATAGTAACTTAACCCTAGTATTTATCTCAGATACACACATTCTTTGAAGTAGATCTTAACATAATCTTTCAGTTTCTTAACGTTGATGTTTTTTCCCTGTGACTTTGCTGTGCGTGCAACATGATAACTTATTTGGCGGTGACGCGTCTCGAACAGACTACAACTCTGCGTCTGAGGTGAGCATCTTCTAATTAATACTCCCTAATTATTGTTATGAACTTGAGTGTAGTATAAACCTGATAGTAGAACCTGAGTTGCACGCGAATTTCGTTGTTTTCTATTAATATAATTATAAACTGGTTTATTTTATTTATTGATGTACCCTTATGCATTCGTTTGTGTATACATTCACGATTTATCTATGGGAGCATTGTACTTTAGTTTCACATTTTCTTTAATCCTGAAACAATGATGTAATACTTTGATCAATTAATATTTTGTGTAGCTTGACTAAAATTATAGAATTCTTTAATAATCAAAACCACCGAATGGGAAACTGTGAGCTAATCGAGAATTCTTCCCTAAAATTATTGATAAGGGTAAAGATAAGTCCGTCCAATGTAAGAAATAATTCTAGCTATTCTTATACAATACTTCCATCTTGTTCGTGCGTAGGTAGGTGAAAAAGTTACATATGATTGCTCATGGCCTTTCTTAATATATATATGTAAATCTAAGCAGAAGAATAATATTGAACATTCTAAATTTTCTCCTAAATACTCATTTTCTCACGTGCGAGGCTAATTCAGCTTGAGATAAAACTGAGGATATGCATGGAAAGAGGCAAATTATTAGAGGCACGCATGACAATTTGTTTTAATTTAAATGCCACACTTCACCCGTATTCGTTTTTATATTTTATATTCACTAGTTTTAAAATAATGTATTAATCATTTACTGCAATCAGAAACATGATCAATCTCTTAAAGAATAATTTTTAAATATATAATTCTTTTCAGTCTGTTGGTTGACATCTAGAATAGGAAATTTAAATTAATTTTTAGTGCATTTTCTCATTTATGGAAAAAATACACTATTGTGCTCGCCATGTCCGTCTGTCTGTGTGTCTGTCTGTCCGTCCGTCTGTCCGTGACCTCAAGTTTTCGTCGACGAGAAAATGCGCTCCCTGTCACTCACTGCAGTGAGTACTGAGTTATATTTTTTTTAATATGGCCACTGAAAAATATTTGATAAATACAAAATTATCTTCGCTCCCCAGACAGAGAATTGCATCGTCACTTGCTTCCTACCAGGCATTTGACGTTGAAATAACGTTGATTAAACGTTGTTTCAACGAAATCAACTCTTTATATGTTTTTCAACTTCGGTCACCTAAAGGAAAGTGTTTAAATTCAGCTCTATCCACGCGAATCATTACCTTCCCATCAGTAATTTTTGTTAAATAATGTTGGTCTAACGTTGTTTGAACGTCATTTGCGTGGAATTTTTACCCCGTTTAATTTGCAGGGCTCCCGAGAGTCCAGCCGTGTGATGGCAGTTTGTCCGGGCCTGAATGCTGGAAAACCAATCCCCATGTACTCAGTAAGTCCAGAGGAGGAGTATGTCACTGCATTTTGTTTTTATTTCACGACATCTTTTTTCGCACCACGTAAACTTTGTCAACTGTGTATTGTGTTCATAGTTCACTTTGTACTGTATAAATTGTTCTCTTCTACATATTAGCTCGTCGGGAGATTTAGGAATCATAATTCAAAAATTGATGAGGACGCAGACAGAGATATACGTGTTATGAAGCAGTTCAGGGCGTATCCAAGATACTCATCTTGTCAGAAAAGTACCTGGACCTGCAAATTTATTCTTAATGGGAGAAATGCAAAACATTATAAAACGTGGAGGAAATTAATTGGCCCAAGTTTTTTTTTATTTCGGTCTCGTTTATTTACCATAAATTTGACTTGAGGCGGGAAATGTGAACGACAAATTTTACAAGCGCAGGATATCATGTGCAATGCTTTTTCTATACCTTATATTTTGTTTCGAAAATCGAGATGAAATTGAGCTGAATCTTCTGATCTTACACATTTGTAGGATTCACTATTGTTCGCAAATAGAGTTAAAGAATCAAAATTATTTAACAGGGTATGACAATTATGTAATTTTAAATTGAGCGTCAGGATTAGTTAGCGTCGAATATGAGTCTTTATAATTACTTTTTTTGGTGGGGGGGGGGGAGAAGCATGAGTACTAGTGTAAGTTAAAATCTCACTAATATTAACATCTTAACAATTCAAAACTTTTTTATATGTTTCCCCTCTAAATATATTCCCTGTGGATTCCAACACGAATTCACTTAGGCTCGATACAATTCACAATAATTTATTAGCCAACTTCTAAATGATTTAAGATCAATTAGATAATCTATAAAATACCAATCTTAATATTTGTAAACAATCAAAGCTGCAGTTGACGCTCTTTGTATATAAGTTCAAGGTAATTAAAAATGTTTTTCAACAGTGGCGGGTCCCTCAGTCGTGCACCGTGGTGTGGCCCGGCGCACTGGCCACTCAACCCTCATGGGACTCTTCCCCTCACACGTCAGGTAACTGCTGCTGCACCTCGCCAGGCATCAAACGTTGATTAACTTTGGTTAAAATAACATTGATTAAACGTTGATGAAAAGACGTTGAGTGAACCTTAACATTACTTTAACATTGTAGTAGTTTTGTAAGGTAGTTTACCTAAATATTGGAGTTGTTTTATAAGCTAGATTACTCTAACATTGTAGTTGTTTTGTAAGGGATTACTCTAACATTGTAGTTGTTTTGTGAGGTAGATTAGTCCAACATTGTAATTGTTTTGTAAGGTAGATTACTCTAACATTGTAGTTGTTGTGTAAGGTAGATTACTCTAACATTATAGTTGTTTTGTAAGATAGATTGTTCCAACATTGTAGTTGTTTGTAAGGTAGATTACTCTAACATTGAAGTTGTTTTGTAAGGTAGATTAGTCCAACATTGTAGTTTTGTAAGGTAGATAACTCTAACATTGTAATTGTTTTTAAGGTCGATTACTATAATATTGTAGTTGTTTTGTAAGGTAGATTACTCTAACATTGTAATTGTTTAGTAAGATAGATTGCCATAATATCGTAGTTGTTTTGTAAGGTAGATTACTGTAACATAGTAGTTGTTTTTTAAGGTAGATTACTATAATATTGTAGTTGCATAGTTAAGTTGACAAATATTATGTTGTCCTCAAGGCGGCGGTGGCGGCGGTCGCTCCGCGGAAGCACAGGAGCAACACAAGGCGACCACGGCAGAGAGGAGCGAAGGCTCGGCGAGGTATTGGTCAACTAAGTTAAACTGTGCATAAGCTTTTTAACTTTTTAATAACACATAAAAAGCCTTTAAGAAGTATGTGATTTTTTTGGTGACGTTGTTGTCGTGAATTAGTGGTTGAGGTGTCGTATAAATGAAGGATTTGAGAACGATAACAGGCTCTCGTTTGTTCGATAATTCGCTGGGCCATTATTCAGTATCAAGTTTGGATCCATAAAATTTAATGTAATTAAATTTAATGTAATTAAACATATAAACTTAATCACATACTAAATAATAAAATTTATGCCAAATTTATAAAATTCACATCAAATTGTACAAATGTGATTTTTTGTTATTACTTTGAGTTTGAGGCATAATTTCTGGAATGCGAAGCTGGAATAGAATGGGACAATAAATATTGCAAGGAGAATTTCACAAGCAATGCAAGGAATAAATGTAAAGCGGATTAATTTTAACAGAAACGCATACCATTCTTATGGCATTTGAAGCTTTTATACACTATTCGATATCATGACACTTACTCGACCACAACATCGTGAACAACGCGCTCCGTCCGATATGGAGTTGAAGTCGGTAAATTTTTTGTTTCTTCACGTATGCGATCATGCATATAAAAATGACGTTGACAGTTCGGGAAACTTATTTAGAATTTGTGTTGAGAAATTATTGCTGAATTTATAAGCGTTGCCCGTTTTCAATGAGGCAATTCAAAATAAAAATCCGCTCAAGGCTGATTGTTTTCTAATACAAAGCGAAGAGATGAGTTTTCTCCCAAATGTTTTTTACTCCGAGAAACTTTCTTGTTCAGTAAATGAGAAATGACTTTGTGCTAGTTATTCTTTTCATTTGTTGTAATTTGTATTTGTTTTTAGGTATTATTCATTTGCAAACTCTCCTAAATATTTTGCAAACAAGATACATCTGTACTATATATAGCCAAGAAACTAACCATTTATAAAACATTTTTTCGCTAAAACTGATGACTAAAAGCCTGAAAAAAAATGTCATATGAGGAATTGCGATTAAATTATCGGCATCTGCGTCGTGTGCGATTTTCGTGGTAACTTGAAGCTTGCATGGCATCTGTGAAATATAAGATATTTAATTGGAGGAAGAATCTATTTCACATGTTTGTTCCAAGTCGACTATTTTTATTCATTTCGAATTTTCCGAAAATTCGTTTCAAATGCTTTATTTTTTAGAAAGGGCCAGTATCAATAGATCCTAAGTTTTTTCAAGTTTTTTATGTGGTCGTTTTGAGTTTTTATATACGTTAACAAATGAGTTGCAGTTCGAGAACAGTTCTGAATAAAAATTTATGAAGCAAAACCAAACAGTGACCCATGATGAATTTAAATTTCCCAGTTGTTGTCATGATTTTATTCCCAACAGCTCGTGGTTGCCGCACCAACGACGAAGCGACCACACCAACACTACTAGCAACGAGCTTCCTCTACAGGAGCCTACGACGGGGAGAAGACGAGCAGCTATTGGTGGCCATCAGTCTTCTACGGCCACCTTAACATCGGCAGACGGACGAACGTTCCAGTACCATCACCACAGCATAACACCGAACTTCCCCTTCTCTTACTATTCCCACCGGTCCACTCCCCGCTCGAATGAAATCTCCCACGCGAGCTGGGAAGCATCGCCCACAGCATCGTCTTCTCGTGAGTCCAGTCCACCAGCGTCGTCGTCTCCTCGACGTGCTCACTCAGGAGACGTGACATCAAGTCTGCTCGAGCGGCTCTTCCCGCACTACGGTCATGGCTCAACCCCGCTAGGCTCGTCTTTGGCCGTCGCCCACGCTCATGCTGGCCACGGCAGCGCGGTGGCTCAGGCTACGAGCTCAGGAGCCGGAGCCGCCTTGGCGCACGCTAGGGTTTACTCGCACGGTTAGTGGCGTCACTAGTGCGGCTAGTGCAGGTGAAGGTCTTCACAAAGTTAGTGGCGTCACTAGTGTGACTGGTGAAGGTGAAGGCCTCCAAACAGTTAGTGGCGTCACTAGTGCGGCTAGTGAAGGTGAAGGCCTCCAGACAGTTAGTGGCGTCACTAGTGTGGCAGGTGAAGACCTTCAAACAGCTAGTGGCGTCACTAGTGTGGCTGGTGAAGGCCTTCAAACAGTTAGTGGCGTCACTAGTGTGGCTGTTGAAGGCCTTCAAACAGCTAGTGGCGTCACTAGTGTGGCTGGTGAAGGCCTTCAAACAGTTAGTGGCGTCACTAGTGTGGCTGGTGAAGGCCTTCAAACAGCTAGTGGCGTCACTAGTGTGGCTGGTGAAGGCCTTCAAACAGCTAGTGGCGTCACTAGTATGGCAGGTGAAGACCTTCAAACAGCTAGTGGTGTCACTAGTGTGGCTGGTGAAGGCCTTCAAACAGTTAGTGGCGTCACCAGTGTAGCTGGTGCAGGTGAAGGCCTTCAAACAATTTGTGGCTTCCGACGGACGAAGAATGTGTTGCGGACGAAGTCGTCCTCATTCTATTGCAACTGGTACGGATAATGGCTGATCCGCAGGCGGTAATCTCAATTTAATGGCCACAGGCTATAAACTGTAATTATTCTAAAAACAGGAGATTCGATTCACCAAATGACTAGACTTTTTTTACATGAAACTCCTGTTATTTGTTTATCAAGTTATATTTTTATTGAAAGACTCGTCGCAGGTTTTTGGCGTGATTATTGCGACTCGTGGTTGTGTTCGTAACTTCTATGAAATCTTGTCTGCATCCTGGCCGAGCTAGAAATCTAGATCATTTAATAAAGCCCCAACCGCCTGTCATTGAGTTAGGACGACCAGCCTTGGCACCAATCTTTATCACCAGCTGCTCCAAAGTGTAGGGTCTCGAAATTTTCAAGGTACATTAAAAAATTAGCACTGAGAAGTAATTTTACTCAATGTAGTGTCAGAGCCAGCTGAAATTGTATCGCTTTTGTTTCTTAATTATTCAGGCATGGAGTATTTTGAGCATGAGCTCGGCTGTCAATGAAATGAATGAAACTAATAAAAGTATGCGAGCGTCCGTTGAAAGTTGTCCCTAAAATATTTATTGTTCATAAATCAATCCTACAGTATTCCTTGAAACAAGTCGTCTCTTTCTATTATGGGTTTATATTGCAGCGATGCTATTCTTGTCCAATGCGATTAGGCCGGACTTCATCAAGCACGATTTGTTGTACCACATTAAATATTTATGATGATTTGGGTTAAGAAAATCTTCTAACTTTTCGTATCTATAAAGCTTGACCTGCTGTTGCCCGATGAGTTTCTCAATGTTAGTTGTGTCCCGATACATGACGGTTCTCAGGTCAACTGAACTCTATGCATACCGGGTGGAATTGACAAATTGATGAAAGATTGTATCTATAGGCAACATTATCTATATATAGATAACATTATATGTATATGCAACCACGTCGATTAAATTACTACCTGAAAAGGATTTGCTTACGGATAAAAAACACGTTAGGTTTGATCTGTTTTTTTTTAGCGTCTAAATTGATTTCAGGAATTAAATTGAAGGAAAAGAGTGATTTGACTGGCTAAAAGTAAATCAGTATAAATTATGGGTGACCGATTAGAACCTGGTTATGTAGCCGGATCAGTATATATTATAATGAACATTAGGACTTTAAACTATTTTTTATACATCTTATTCAGCATTTTTGTGAAATATATAATACATTTTCATGACATAATTTTTGATGTATTTTTCGTTCTACTTTGAACTTTCAGTTGTAGTTAGATAAAAAACTTAAAAGGGGCATTTATTTTCGAACTTTCGTTGACAGCGCTGTTTATTTTCAAACTTTCGTTGACTAGACAAAATATCACTAATTTATATTAATTTTTTTATATTATGCCATTTTAATCGTTTTGTTCATTTTATCTGATGAATTACGCGTGATTTCCAAGTTCCTCGACGAATTGCGTTCGTAATGTTTAGGTAGTTTAATATATGATGCATGTTAGATGCATAATTATGGGCGGCACTGTAATTAGGTATACAAGGTTATATAATATATTTAGGGAACCTGCCATGGTTCAAGTACGAGTGAGTTAAATTTCAACGGATCAGACCACCGAACTACTATGTTAGAACACGACCTCATAGTTTGAATTATTGTCTGAAAATTTATCTAATGTTTGAAAAAATTGTGATTAGAACAATGATGAGAAAAAGTAGAATTGCCCGAAAATTATAGTGCTGCTTATCCACTTGGCAGTTTGCATCGGTGCAGTTCTCTGTGAAACTTCAAAAAGTTATTAACTTGCCACATGTGCCACCGTTGTCACTGATGCAAATCTATCCTTATATAACAGAATATATATGCTAAGTGAGTCACCTCATATTGGAAGGATCGAAAGAAAAGATTGTTTTCGCTATCCGTCTTCGCACTTGTAAAGATTTCTCTTTCTTACGTTCACAGAGTCGTGATCTTTAAACCTAATCTCAGTGTGGCTTGTCTGAGCTTGTGGCGATCACTTTCTCACGTCAGTATTGATTCTTTGGAGACCAAAATGTTTGGTTGTCGTCAGAGATTCGTGATTTTCAGTCTCTTGTATTATATATCGATATTATCTTAGATTATAGTTCTAGTTAATCTATTGATAGTTTAAGGTTAACATTTGGTGCTCTCAAAGTGATGCTAATTGTAAGTAATAAAAACTTCTAATGATGCCGCTCTGATTTACTCTAGTCCACTACCACGCAGTGTTTTCACATACCTCGTTGGCGATGGTAATGAGAAATAATTTGAGTTGTCAACACTCGCAACTGATTTCGATATTCATTCCATACATGTTGCGCATGTGCTGCCTGTTCACAATAAATGGATTTAACCACTTACATATTTTACTAACGCGTGCAATTTCACGGTGACTCGTGTATTTCTATGATTTATCTATTCTCTGCTCCTTAACTCCTTCTTTTGATTGTAAGAAACAACGTACAGCAGCGAAAGGAGAAAAACGAGCTATGGTCATTAACGCATTTTTTTAGGCATCAACATTGTTGCAGCGACATTCCATGGGTCAATAAAAAAATGTTTACCTTCGTCTCCCGCGCAATCGCCGTGCATTTTACATCTTGCTTAACTGTGTTGCTGCCATGCTAATTGTAATTCTTCTTTCTGAAGCAGAATTTCATTTAAATATTTGTTAATGTAAAAAAAGCGTTTATAAATGAAATTTCAAATCGAACTATATCAGTAAATGCTAACGAGGAAGTAAATGCTAAATGCAATCAAAAGTTGCAAACTACTAGACCATGCTAACAAAATATTTTAATATATGTAGAAAATGATGTTTCTTCTCTTTATATACGCTTCATTGATTTTCTTTAGAACATGTATTTTTTTATTTGTTCACTCTTTCACTTTTATACAGTGCGTATTCAAAATCAACTCTCAAGTATTGCTTTTAAAATGACTATTCCATATTTCGTCTCGTCTAAAACAAAAAAAAAAATCAAATATTCCTGGGAACATTATATTTGATTTATTGATCGCATATAATCAGACAAAATGCAACATTGAGAAAGTGGATGTGAGAGCTTCATGCGAGTCAGAGCATCTTAATTAACACTGCCAAGAACATTTTTTATCGAAATTGTCTATTTATTATCCTCCTTTGTTGTGTAATGTAATCATGGTAATGTTTTTCCTTAATCATTTGCGTTAATATATTTTTGTACCCCGTTGAACATAATTCAGTCATCCAGAAGTAAATTCCTCTTAATATTGCAGATTATTTCATAGTTTCCATGAAAGTAAAATGCGCGGCGGTGCATATTTCCCTACTGATTCTCACTCAGATCCTGTCATATATAGCGCTAATGATGTATCAAGACACACATCAATGTAATATAAGTTATTTTCATATCATAAAAATATAAAAATGTCTAATTCTTTCATATTTTCAAATTGTGATTCAATACTGAAGTACAGTATAGTCCGTCCCTATCAGGAGTTATAATAATTGGTGAAATTACATCACAAATCAGAACCTATAAAGATTCCAATGAGTCCCATGCCCAAAATGGAAGTTTTGGATATATGGCTACTCTAAAATTGCCCAATCGCACCAAAAGCCACTTACAATTAGTTAAATGTAATAACGCCCCTGAAACAATAATTATGAAAGAGACTTGAAGAAATTTAAACATACCTCTAAACATAAACAACACAATCCGTTTCGCGACTAGGCCTTTTCGTTGTGAGGCCGAGGAACTTTTTCAGTGAGGCCAAGGAACTACGTGCCTGTCGATTTCATATCGAAACAGAAAATTATATTCACTTCTAAACTATTAGTACCTTGCGGATAGAAAAAAGACTGACTTTTTCTTATAAATGACATGGATATTGAGAGATACATATATGTATATGGTACAAAATATCTTAATTTTTTGGCGCTATGCGATTTCTTCTATTCTAAAAGCCTTACATCACTCTCAATTTCTCATAGAAGCCGTTACTCCAAAAACAACGATTTTTAGGAATACATTTCTGCGTGTGCATATTTTCTGGCTTCAAAACCATTAAAATGTCCAATGCGCACCTATATTCCAGAGTACACCGATGTCATGACACACCTATGTTAAACCAATATAACCTGAGGATGGTCACTGTAACCGAAAAACTCTTCTTCCTCCTATAATTACCTACAGGCACTGATGGTGCGTAGATGAGCCATCATGGCCACTTCTCGAATAAGTTTGATAATATTTATCCGTTATATTCAAATCCTTTGACTGAGCTTTCTCACCTTGACCGACAATCCTTTCATACGACCACACATTTTAAAGGTTACGAATAGATTTTAAAGGTTACGTCCAGCTTGGCAGTGCAAGCAACAATGTTGGGAATGTGGCAGGACCAAATCATCCCCGAAAATATACATGCCATGTAAGAAATCGACTTGAAGGAAAGTCCCTGAGTGCTGGAATTGAATTCGAGTCTCCCGCGCGCAAAGACAAGCCTCTCATCAGAGTGGAGTCAGCAAACGAGTGAGCCAATTTGGGAGATTAGCCTGGAGTATTACAATTATTAATTCAACAGAGGAAATAAATATATGCCACCCATGTGCTAATGGGATGGTTCCATTAGCCACTGTTTATTTGAACACGCTGCAATGTTCCAGAAAACGGCCGCTGAAAGAAATTTCCTTAATTTATAACGAACGTTGTATGAGCTCAAAGTTTACCAGCTTCTGGGGCATGTATGATATACGTCGTAAATACTTAATCTAAACATAATATTTGGTTTGAGAAAAAGACGCTTCGAAAGATTTTCAACAGAAATATTTTTGTCCAAAATAAGGAATGGTTTGAGAATGGAATCGATATCACTAGATGACTTTTAAATCCAGAGTGAAATTCATTCACCACTCCGTTCAATATTTTTCACAACCCTAATATACGTATGATAGAATGGAATGATGCCGTAGGAATAATGCCGAGACCACTATATTAAAAATGTAAACTTCCAATAAAAATAATTATTTGACAACATAAGCTAATATCTCGAAAGTAAATAAATCGCATAACTAATATCAGCCATATTGAACTGAATTTTTATTTGTATCCTTGAGTGTAAAAAGAACACTTTTGCCGCAAAAAAACGGAGCTTTTGATAAGTAATAAAAGTACCAGAAACATTTTTTTTCAAGCGAAACGTGGCATGGATATGAAGGTAAGAGCCTTAACATGTAATCAGGTACAAACTAGCAGCTGAAAGCTCCAGAGCGCTCTGTCGACTTCGTCAACTTTGTTTTAGATAAAAGCGCTAGCTTGAGAATGTGATAAATATTGCGAAATATACTTAATCAGTCCATACGAATCAACCTTACTTACGACGAATGAAGTTCAACTGACAATAATATTTCAAACTCGGCAAATTGATGCGCATAAAAATTTCGCACAAAATTTAGGCTATAGATCGAGTACACGAAAATTTGGAATTGGAAAAATCTGATTAAAGCGTGGGATTTTTTGACAAATTTATTTATAGCGAGAAATATCCCTATAGTTAATTTGCTTCAGACAGTTTATATCAGGGGCAGAATAGTAAGTGCCCAGTGGCTTCAATTTAACTTAAAAAGTTTTTGATACTCTCGCTACCGACTCAGTTTTACTCGTAACTATTCAAGACATGCTAAATTTTTGCGAACTTTTCTCCAATCTAAATCTTAAACTACAAGCATAAAGAACGAGGTCATGTTTTTTTTTATCTCGAATGATCCGCAACTTATTAGCTTTTTCTTATGTTTGACAAATCCTTTAGTGCACAATAATCGGTTATCGGTGGCCTATGTTAGGCGGTCATGTAAGGCGCCCTCACACTGATTATATGTTTCTACCTGAGGACAGGGATTCGCTGACTGAGCGCGTGAGCGATAAGTAAGACACAATCTGTCTACAGACCTTATCTTGATACAGGGTCGTTAGGTATGAGAGATATTATTTAGGTACAAATAAGTATAATTAAAACGTCGATCGTTAGGTCGGCGTAACTAAAATATTCTCAATAATTACGGTAATTACTGACTGATCATATATTGAACTCATTAGCTTTTTATTAATTACCGTAATTCCTCCACTGAGCTTATTTCCTCACAAGGCTCATATAAATGATTGATCTATCTTCCCGCTATCATCCGTACATTTATTTTTACAAAGTATTAACTATCTCATTCCATATTCAGATACGGTATCCCCGGTTGTGGGTTTTGGTAATGCGGCGATTGTGGTGAGCAACGAACAGCCGAGCACCGCCAGTAATTTGTGTGCTATTTTTAGCGCATTCTTAGCGAATTTTCTCATTTATGGAATAAATGCACTATTGTACTCGACATGTTCGTCTGTCCGTCCGTGACTTCACGTTTTCGTCGACGAGAAAATGCGCTCTCTGTCACTCACTGCAGTGAGTACTGAGTTATATTTTTTCTTTTATGGAAAAAAAGCGCTGTTGTACTCGCCATGTCCGCTCTCTTATACACATCTAGATGTGTATAAGAGACAGATATAGCTTAGTGATCTCGGCGCTGAAGTGTAGGCCTGATGTGGCCTGTCGCCGATTCTTTTCCTTTTCGTGCCTTGTTCACAGAAGATCTAAAATCGTGTCATTTGACCGGATCTTTTCATGACTGACGATAGTTTGAAGGCTACTAGACTTCCACCGGGTTCGATATGGTGCTGGTCCTGTCTCTTATACACATCTAGATGTGTATAAGAGACAGACGTAACAGTCGCTCATGCGGAACACTATCAAATGCCTTGGCAAAATCGAGGTACAGTGCATCCACTGGCACCCTTTCGTCCAGCAGGCGAGTCTAATTATTCAAGGTAGACAGGTGATTAGTGGTGCATAATCTGCCAGCAATAAGGCCATGCTGACAGTCTGATAGAAGATGGTTAACAGTCAAGTGATCGATAATCCTATCCCTCATAACCGATTCCATCACCTTACTCACAACACTTGTGAGACTTACAGGACGGTAGTTTCCTGGGTTACTTCTGTCACCTTTTTTGAACAGGGGTGTCACTTGGGCTTCTTTCCAGTCGGCCGGCAAAGTCCCATCAATTAAGGTTTTTCGAAAGAATACTGTTAAAGGGCCGGCCAGGACGGTTGCTAATTCGTTGAGCAATCTAGGGTGGAAACCGTCTGATCCAGATGACTTGTTGGGATTCAGGGAGACCAGACGCTTGAGAACCTCCTCTTCATGTATCTCGAAACTAGTTAACTTCGAGCCCACTGGTCGCTCCTCAATAGCTGGAATACTGTTCAAGTCCTCATCTGTGATAACGCTGCTAAAAAACTTATTTAGAACATTGGCCTTGCCCTCCTCAGAAGATATCTTCCGTTGATTTACATACAAATCAGAAATACCGTCCCTTGTCTTACACTTCGAACTAGCATACAAGGAGAAGGCTTTCGGGTTCTTTTTCGAGTTTTTTGACTGCGGCGCGACCAGCTTTTTTAGCTTGATTTCGAGCTCTTGCATACAGGTTATACTCAGCATCGCTACGAGTTCGTAAATAACGCTTGTAGGCTTCCTTCTTTGCCTTTAGCTTTGCTTCAACCGTTTTGTTCATCCACTGTGTTTCTCTGACTCCACCAAGCTTTATCTTAGTTACACACGCATCAACTGCAGACATAACTTGTTCTTGATGAATGACCAAGACTCCGCTACATTCATGTTCATGATACAGTCCAAAATGTTCGCTGCACTCACCGATTCACGAAGTTTAACATAGTCGCCTTTCGCAAAGTTGAAACGTTCACGCTTCCGAGGCGTCTTTACTGCATAGCACTTAATACTGAAAAACAATGACTGGTGGTGACTTTTGCCCAACGGAGCCTCGTGGCGAAGCTCTTCTACCATTGATTCTTCACTAGTAAACACTAGGTCTAGAGTATTTGGAGTCTGATTAGTGATTACTTCTAAAATGGGTTGGCTTTGTGATGTGCTGGTATAAAAATGAGTCTCTCACAGACTCCATGAACAAGGATGAAGGGTGATTCTCATCCCTCGGAGAGGATTCATGTGCCCAGTCTATTTCTGGATGGTTAAAGTCACCAACGATTAACGTATGCGACCTGCTGAAAGTCATGCTTGGTAGAAGACTGTTCAGCACTTTTTCGTTATCAGAGGAACTGTTGGGTGATCTATTCAGGACACCTATAAGGAGGCTATCCGTGCTTTTTCAAGAAAGCTCACACCACACTGATTCTCTAGCTGACTGGTGCTCTGCTTATAACTTAACTTGTTGGGCCTCATAAAAGGTTCTAACCCACAGAGCTACACCTCTACTTCACTGCTCTTCGTTTAAATTATGAAAGCAATCAAAAACTGGCAACTGAAATTAACTGGTAAAATTTCCCCCCGTGATTTTTGGGGAGTGTCTCTGTAATACAAATAATGTCTATACACTCGTTTCCGATCACAGTTAACAGTTCATTTCTTTTGTTCAAAACGGAATCAGAGTTTCATCTCGATGTATGAATAAAATTTTTACCTTATTTACAGAACTGGATTTATATACATGGTTTCCACTATTTAATTGCCTTCCATCTCCCCTGACTGTCGGCGAGCGGTCGGAGTCCCCGTGAGATCTTGAATGGTGTTGGCATGATTTTCCGTGTTTCTAGCCAGTGCTTCGGGAATGAGCCAGTTCCTTTCGGGAAGCAAATTCGCCTAGGGTGTGTGATTCAAGTTCTGAGGCTCGCACGAGCCGAAATCTCAATTTTCAGTTTTTCCAAAGAATTTCCCGATTAATTAATTTAGAGACTACCTATCAAAATTTCGTCCTAAGTTGAGCGTGCCTAAGTTCAAATTCCCTCAGGTTAATAGATAATACTTCAGGTGCGATCCTCTCAAAGTTGATGAAATGCTGGCTTTCGGTTTTCTCTCTGGCCTAGCGTTCGGCCAGCGTGATTCTCATTGATGAATAATTAGTCGGACCCGTTGAGTTACCGCTTCAAATGCATTTTGAGCATCGCGATTCTAAAATTCTGTTTTATCTTTCCAACATGGGTTATGGCCATGTACAGAGTTCAGGAAAACTTTAACCTTTAAACATAATTGGAAGATTAGTTTAAATTGATTGTAAACCATAAGTCGTCAGAGTCGTCATAAGCTTAATGGTTTTCAAATAAATGCAAGTATTTAGTAAAGATCTTTCCAATTATGTTGATGTCACGAATTTCACCGTAAAGCCTTATTTCCACCTCGCACGTTCTTGCTTTTAACATACAAAAGTTTTCCCTCGTAGTAAAACGTTGCTTATAGGATGTTCGACGTCTCCAAGCACGCTGCCAAAATTATGACGTGAGGCTTGCTAATTTCAGTTCCTGATTCCTATTATTATTTGAATCGTGAACTTTGGGCTTTTAATGTGAGCGAGTCGTAATGCATGATGGTTGGGTGTCATCGCATGCATGATATGAGACCAGACTTCTCTAGCTGACTTCTCAAGTGCAGTTAAATGCACTTTATTGTCCTTGAGTCTACAGCTGTTGCAAACCACAGGTGTGTCGGACATCTCCACAGACACTGGCTACTGTTGCGTACGTATACTAGCGTCTACCGATTGTCTTTACCTGTTGTATTAACTTGGAACGCCCGTAGAAAGTTCTGTCGGCCACGACCAAAAAGCTGAACGATTTTCATTTACATCAGTAATCTGAGCAATTTTTGATACTATAATTGTTTCGTGGTTGTCGGAATAGTGATGAAGAACATACAAGTTTCTGGTCTTGCTTGAAATTGTTCGACTTATTTCAATGACAGGATGTACATTCTGAGATAGCTTATGAATTAATTCTATGTGATTCAAACGCGAAGATAAGCTTGGTATTTAAGTGAGATCATAAACATGCATTCTATCATAAAGGTTTCCTCTAGCTTACACTTAAACTTTGTATTGCGCATTTTTTTGTGTGCTGCATAAAGTATGACGGACTACAAGTGTTCATAATAGAAAAATAACAATCGATAGCTTAGCATCTGTTGCTCTCCACAGTAGAGGGTTCGGAGTGACCGCGTTAACAGAGCACGTCCGTACGTAGACGAAGTGCACAGCAATAGGTTGTGGCTTAAACTGTTCAATTATTCATCAGAGTAGATAATTGAGTGCACAATATTATACTTCTACACTTCATCATCTATAAGTGCTTCGTTGCCGTGACATGTCATTCTTACTGCCTACAAGTGAGTTCGTTAAAATTGAAGCTTAGTGAAAAAATTGGCGGATACAGGGGTTAAATTAATTAGAAAAAGTAAATAATAGACATAAAAATTGCTAAATTTGTGCAATGTTAGAAAATATAAAGATCCATTGAGGTACTTCTATATTAAAGATAGAAGTAGTTATTAATATCAACGAAACAAAATAATAATCGGAATTCTTAGAACGACAAAAAATGTTCTGTCTGCAAGATAAATGGGATATTTCAGCCAGAGCAGCTGTGCTCATGCTCGAAAGTATTGAAATGTGGTTCAAAGCTTCAGTAGAAGCTTTGTGTGAAGTGCCCGTTCACTCAAGGGGCACTATTTTTTAATAATTTTATTTTGCTGCAACAGAACTTTGCTCCTAATTTTATATCAACTTGTGTAAGTTTTTTTTTTATTTTTAACTACGAACACCAAAAATTATAATTCAATCCCGTCAATTCAATGTTTTCCGAAATACGATGGTCAACATGTTTTAGTTTAATATCTATGTTCAACATAGAACAATCCCGCATAGAAGCCTACAACACACTAACAATTACAACATTGCTAGTGTGTTGTAATTTTCCTTGATAATAGAAATTTATAAATTGGAATGAGAAGATTCATTCTAATTTCATTGTTTATATATTAGCTAAAAAAAGAATGAACCTTGACTAGCAAATGTTCAACATAAAACAATCCCACAAGTTCTGATTTTTTCTGAAATATTAAGGTTCTCAGTTTGTATTTGCTTACTAAATACGGTAAATTCCATTCTCTGTAGCCATGCCAAGGTTGCGTTACTGGAGACGGCGAACGAAACTCGCGGTGGCGCTGGTCGCGGCTCTTCTGCTGGTGGTGGCCATTTCCGACCACACAGGTAAACTGGGACAAGTATACTGATAAACTGGGACGCGTATGCAGGTAAACTGGGACGCGTATAGAAGTAAACTGGGACGCGTATACAGGCAAACTGGGACGCAGATACAGGCAAACTGGGACGCGTATACAGGTAAACTGGGGCGCGTATACAGGTAAAATGGGACGCATATACAGGTAAACTGGGGCGCGTACACAGGTAAACTGGGACGCGTATACAGATAAACTGAGACGCGTATACAGGTAAACTGGGACGCGTATATAGGTAAACTGGGACGCGTATGCAGGTAAACTGGGACGCGTATATAGGTAAACTGGGACGCGTATACAGGTAAACTGGGACGCGTATACAGGCAAACTGGGACGCGTATACAGGTAAACTGGGACGCGTATACAGGCAAACTGAGACGCGTATACAGGTAAACTGGGACGCGTATACAGGTAAACTGGAATGCGTATACAGGTAAACTGGGACGCGTATACAGGTAAAATGGGACGCATATACAGGTAAACTGGGACTCGTATACAGATAAACTGGAATGCGTATATAGGTAAACTGGGACGCGTATACAGGTAAACTGGAACGCGTATACAGGTAAACTGGGATGTGTATACAGGTAAACTGGGACGCGTATACAGGTAAACTGGGACATGTATACAGGTAAACTGGGACACGCAAACAAGTAAATTGGTGACGCGAATGCTGGTAAAGTGTGGGTACGTATTCAGGTAAATCGGATGCGCGTATACAGATAAATTGGAGATGCATGCGCAGGTAAACTGGAGAAGCGTAGTATGCAGGTAAAATGTACAAATAAAAATTGAGGGTGGCGAACCGATGGTTATAGGTTGGCGTGTTATATTATAACTGGTGTAACGATGAGTAATGATGGCTCAGCGATAGAGGCTTAATTGACTTTGCGGGCGGGGGACCCGAGTTCAATTCCAGCACTCAAAGACTTTTCTTCAAGTCGATTTCTCACGTGGTATGTTTATAGCACGGGGATAATTTGTTCCTTCTACATTTCCAACATTGTTGTTTATACTGCCAAGCTGGATGTGTATACGTGACCCTTAAAATATGTATTCCTATGAAAGGATTGTCGATCAGGGTAAGAGTGCTCAGTCAATGGATTTTACAATAACGGAAAAATATTATCGCCCTAATTTGAGAGGTGGCCATCGATGGCTCGCCAGTGCGTCATTCTTGCGGGTAATCATAGGAGGAAGAAGGGTTTTTCGTTTAGAGTGACAATCCGCAGGCTATATAGAAGGACCATATGTGAGTCATGCCATCGTTGCGCCGTCGGTGCTCCACCTATAATTTACACATATTTCACCAGTAATCATCGGTGCTCCACCAATAATTATCAATAGGGTGGAAATGTGTATGAAGGTAAATCGAGAGTGCGTATACAGGTTAATGGAAGACATGTTTATAAACGAGTTGGTGGCGCGTATACAAGTATATTGGTTTCAAAAAGAAAAATTAAGATGGAAGCAGATTTTCTGTACTCCAATTATTTTATAATTCAAATCTTAACCCCGCGTCCGTGCAGGTTTTACCGGTGCTCTGTTCAGCCGGTTAACGTCTCCAGTTGTTACAGACGGCGGAGTAAATGAAGATTTTTACAGAACTGGACTATCTCCAAAGAAATTTTGCCGCTTAGAATTAACTGACGGCAGCACAGTAGAACTGCCTGAGTTGTACAAGTGAGTTTGAAAATATAGCATGAATATTGGCTTGGATTCCTAACTGTTGCCCAATGAAATAGGCTGAATAAATAAATAAAGTCAACACAAAGATGTTAAAAACTATCTTTTTGACAAATGAACTGTTCAATAATATTGTGGAAATACTAAAGCGATGAAGTATGAAATACTCGTAAATAGTTTCCTGTCGTGTAATACAGAATGTCACGAATATCCAAGTATATTGTCGAGTGCGTTAGCTTTGTGCGTTCTAAGACAGAAGTAAAAATATTTTTCAACTAATATGGCAGTGAAAAGAAATAAGGTCTCTTTAATTTAGATATTAACGTAATGACATTTGGCCATACGTGTCACCAGAGACGTGACGCCAGACGTCGCCGCGTACAACGTCTACTTGATGGAGACGTCGAGTGCCACAGTCGTGACCCCCAGGGCGCTCTGTGGACTGGAGAGGTGATGAGTGGTGACTAATGATGGTGATGAAGCGCGTGTGATGGTGATGAAGTATTTATGTTGGTGATGAAGTTAGTGTCATGATATTGAAGCATATGTAACGGTGATGAGGCACATCTGTTGGTGATGTAGCGCGCATGATGATGACGAAGTTTGTCTGATGTAATGAAGCACATAAAACTAATGAGGCACGTATATTGGTGATAGGGTGCTGAAGCACGTGTGATAGTGATGAAGGTTGTTTGTAATGAAGCAAGTATATTGGTCTTATCGATAGAAGGCTTTAGCTCCATTTTTCTGGTCTCAGCGGCCACCAGCATCTGGTTTGAACCCCAATATTTTGTTGTGGCTCCAGTTATTGATGTAACCTTGTAGCTCCAGCAATTAATGTTTTCCCAGTTTTCATATCTCCCAACTGTAGGAACTGGCATAACTAGTCCCAGTTATATTCCCCACCACTGTCATCAATCAAAATTATTAACCTCATTTCCACAGTTACTGCAATCATAATCCCGGCGCTCACGTGTGGTTTTTGGTAACATCGCAGTACTTAGAATCTACGACGCTGGCAGAATTGATGTCACTTCAGGCCACCTATCCGAACTTGTGCGTGGCTCATCTAAACTTCAGCTCACTTTTCCAGGACACTCCACTACTAGAACTTTACCTCTCCCAGAGGTTCAATAGAACTTGTAAGTAATTTCTTTAGTAAAAAGCTGCTTGAGAAATGACAGTAAAAATGTAAGCACAAAACTAAATTATAGCCCAGAGCGTCTTGTTTGGTTGTATTGTTTGTTAACAACTTGCAAGGCATTTACTTCCTCAAGGATGAATTTGTGAACAGAGGAAGCAAGTTGAAATGTACGTCACGATCAGCACTTAATAACATGGATTCCCAAAAAGTTACACATTGAGAAGCAATTTAACTATGCTTTTCGTCACATAAGTCAACCCGCAAAGAATAATGGAGATTTCAATGTTTGTCAGCGTTCTTAGCCAACAACTTGTGCAACATGGGCCGACTGGCGATCGTATACAAGTTCGGAGGCCTGTACACTGACATGGACGTCATCGCGCTGCGTCCTCTCATGCCAGCTGCCAACTTCATCGCATTGCAGGTGCCCACTACCATACATCAATACAATCGGGGGCATATAGTGATTAACTGCATTATCATGCAGGTGCCCAAAACCAAACCTCAAATTGAGAATTGAGGTGCATATAGCATATAACTTCAAAGCACTCCGGGCGCCTGCTACAACCATTATTCATACAGTCAAGGTGTATATAGAAGATAACTTCTGCGCATTGCAGGTGCCCACAACCATACATCATACACACAATCGAGGTGTATATTGCATATAACTTCATTGCCCTGCAGGTGCCCACAAGCACAATCGAGGTGCTTATGGCGTGTAACTTTATCCCCTTACAGGTACTCGCAAGCACACATTTACTGTCCGTTGAAGTACATGTGCTGATAATAGCATTTAGCTTCATCGCCTTATAGGTTCTCACAACCAAACTACTACCTTCATTTGAGTGCTCATAAGTGCTCATAATCAGGCAACATACTATCATTTGTGGTGCACATAACACATAGCTTCATCGCCTTACAAATGTCCACAGACACACAAAATACTGTCAATGTAGGTTTATGCGATGTGTAGGCGGCACAAGTGTCTTATATGGTTATTCTGTGAGTGAGGAGAAAAAGGTATTCGTGAATTACTGTATTAACAAGCATTGAAATTGCTCTGAGAAATTGGAACTTGTCGATACGCAATGTAAAATTGAATAAATTTCATCACAGCTTAAAAAAAGGTAGAGCAATAGGAAAATGAGATTTACATTCGTATACTCCTCAATTTGTTATACCGCCTCGGTCTAAGAATAAGTTTGTGTATGCATCCTAGTGAAAGTTCAACTTTCTGTGAGTTTTACAAACTCATAATGAATGCATTTGGTTATTGGTGAAACAAATATTTAAATGAATTCCATCGAAATGAGTTGGTGAGGAAATTTTGATTGTTTATAAGGAAAATTCAGATCGCAGTGCCTAACATCCAATAACCTAATGCACACCATCTCTAAAATGATGTAATGTTTGACTTCATGTAAAAGAACTTGGATTATCGTCACGCTATTGACTTACAGATCAATGAAGACGGTCGTTTCAGCCATATTGGACTTTTTACAATTTTAAACAATGATATGAAATGAGAGTAAAGTCAATAAAAACATCACTATGTGATGACGATACCAACTGCAAATACGCGATTTTTCTTAGGATTTTGAATGAGCACGTGAATGTGGAATTGCAATTTTGTGCTTCCAGGACGACAAGTCGGGCTACCTCAACGCCGCCATCCACTACCTGCGGCGCCAGCACCCCATGTCGATGAAGATCATGGAGCACATTGCTGCTAACTATAAAGTGAGGGCACGCTAGGCCATGTTCCTGAGGGTCATGGAGCACATTGCTGCTAACTATAAAGTGAGGGCACGCTAGGCCATGTTCCTGAGGGTCATGGAGCACATTGCTGCTAACTATAAAGTGAGGGCACGCTAGGCCATGTTCCTGAGGGTCATGAAGCATATTGCTGCTAACATTAATGTAAAAATAAACTGGGTGCGAGGTAACGGGTTTGACTTGTCAAACCATGCACGGAATGTTTGATCGTGTATGGTATGTTGCAGTGAGGGGTTAAATTAGTATTGTTTAGGTGACCGGCAATTGTGGCCAGCTCTGGATGAGATTTTCCTATTTCAGTGATATAAAAAGCTGATTGAAATTATCGACCTACCCGTATCGCAGGAAATTGCAAGCATTTACCAGAACTGTGTTGGAGTATGATTGCAATTGATGAACTTATTTATCTTAACAGCGTTATATAATTATAAGATAGTGTTCATTGCTTGATTCATTCAAATGGGCATACGCGATTCCATTGATGATTGCAGGGCAACGTCTGGGGCGCCAACGGGCCGACGGCCCAGACGAACGCGGCGAAACATTTGGGTTGTGATCGATCCCCTGTCGGCGTAGATCGCCTCGTAAACAACACCAACAACCGAAAGCCTCTACCAGTTCAACCGTGTGATGACCTCCAACAAAAGCAGCCGTGTTCCAGTAAGTTACTTTTGCCAGGATGTTCACAAGTTTACGGTCTGGCTGTATAAGCTACGAATGGGAGTATAGTAGAGTTCAGTTTTTTTCAAACTGTCTTGGACATTCCCCATTAACGGTTTAAGTGCTGTCTTTGTCATTCTTTATTTACGGTTTAAAACTGTTTTGGTCATTTCCCGCTTACGGTTTAAAAACTGTCTTGGTTATTCCCTATTTACGGTTTAAAAACAGTCATGGTCAGTCCCCATTTACGGTTTAAAAACTGTCTTAGTCATTCCTTATTTACTGTTACCAAACTGTCTTGGCCATTCCCCATTTACGGTTTAAAAACTGTCTTGTCCCATTTCGAACTAGTGTTAATTTTAACGCAATTCCTGTTCCTCTTACACTAAAAATATACATGAATGCACAGTACACTGACACTTACTTCAGTACACTGACACTTACGTCAGTACACTGATACTTAGTTCAGTACACTGACACTTACGTCAGTACACTGATACTTACTTCAGTAAATTGACACTTACTTCAGTACACTGACCCTTTGGTACTTTAGTACACTTTAGTAATTATTTCGATCTTTACAGTTTACTGCAGAAATTTAGAGTAACAAGATTCATAAAGACGAATAAAACGCGATTACATCAAACAATGGATTGTTCATCGAAAACAGTGCTGATTTTTGCCCCGGCATCTCCGGAATCAAAAAGAAATAATAACTACAAACAACGAACGACAAAATCGCTTTTTCTTCTGAAATTTTGAGAAGAGAGAAACCAAAAAATATTTTTACAGGATCAGCGTGTGCAATGAGGCTCCCTTACACTGTACATCTTTTCGTCACTATAGGTTTTCTGCCTGAAACAGAATCTCCTGAATTTAACGCAACGTTGAGCCGTTGATTTCAACGTCAAAAGAATGAAAGTTACTAATGAGGAAATATCCAAGGTAGAATGACAGTACCAATTATCCCCTGACAAAATTTTCGACAATTTCCATTAATACACCCTTTAATAATAACAATTTCCATTACCATGATAGTGAACATTCAAAGCCATCGGTTTTCCGTCAAACCAAATGACTCTTGTTTTCGGAAGTTTAAGTTAAAACAAACTGAATTTTAAAATTCCCTCCTGAAAGAAGAACTAACCAGAAGAAGGAACACGTTGAAAATTCTAAATTTCACACATGACTGAATGAACCATTACATAAATGTTCACCTTCAAAATATGTTTCATGTTGAAGATGACTGTCAGACGTTATTTACGCATGACAATTTACACTCCAACAGCCTACACGAATTTCATAGCACATGCACGCACCTCCTTGGCGCTAGATGGTTTCCCACGAAATTTGAATATATACTACATGAATTTGTCATTCATACTCCCCGTACCCAGAAGCATCTTCCGCACATTCTCCTCAAATTCTTTGAAATTGTCAATAATATTATTTTGCTATATATCTGTCACTCTTTTCATTCATTCATAATACTGCTTCTATTCGATTTTTTTCCTCGGATTTCGACAATTTCACAGGCAACTAAGTTCATTCATATTTATTTTTAAATTAATAATATTTTAAAAAGAAGCATATTATTATTCATTTGTACATCATTATTCATTTGTACATCATCCATGGCGTTTAATTACCGATGCTGAAAAATTTGAAGATTTGTCAAGAAGCATAAGCGGAAACTATCGTAGAAGGATATTACTACGCATTATGTCTACCACTAAGATTTTTAAAATTTGTCTTGTTTTGTAAATAAGTTCATAAATGTTTCGAATGTTGTTGGTGATAAACTCAAATCAATTATTTAAGTTTAGACTATTTAACTTTTTGTTTTCTTAAATAATCTAGAAAGATATATGATACTTGTTGTGTAAATAAGTTCATAAATGTTTCGAATGTTCTTAATTGGTGATAAACTCAAATCAAATGTTTAAATTTAGAATATTTAACTATGTTAACTTTAGGAATCTAGAGAAACATATCATACAAGATAATCATGAGATACTTTTCACATGATTATATTCGTCCTTGACTTGAGCAGACCACACCGAGGAGTGCGACTGGGTGGCACTCAAATCCTCCGCCTTCATGGCCGTGCCCTATACCGAGGCTAAAAAACTTTTTCTGGGCCCTAAAAAAGATGAGAAGTTTCAGCCCATAGAAACCGTGAGTTCATGGGTCATAGTTTGCTAAGTCTCTTTTTTTTTGTACGGAATTATTTATGGTTTAAATATCAAGCTCAATCTGTCAACCCGACTCTGATCAGCTTCCCTCAGTGAGAGACTCAAACGACACTTTTGGCTATTAACTGTAATTACCGTCTCCGGTTGCGTATCTAGATTGATTTAACAGCGCTTTGAAGTTGTGACTAGTTATCGAGATCGGTGGTCATAATTTTTTTGGCAACATTGCTGAATTTGTGTGGCGTCACAAATTCGCGAAAATAAATCCCACGGCCAGCGTGCCAAGGACATTCCTGGAAGAGGAATCGACCGCTGATAATTAATTGATGAGTTTCTATTTCAGGGTTTCTGATTGCTCATTCACGCTTTCCGTAATGGCATATTAATCAAGTAGCATCAAGTATTAATCAATCAATGCGCACGAGCAATCAAGTACCTGAGAAGGAAGGATTCCGTTTATAAATTATTTATAAACGGAATTTTCAAAAATTGCGGTTTCTGGTAAACGAAGGAATTCAAACATATTTTAGACAAAGTATTTAATTTTGCGTAATATTTCTTGAATAATAATGTTCAATTTATCCGATATGACTAATAAAACTGAGGTCAAACATAAACATAATCACAATGATAAAAAATGAGGTTACCAAGGTTCCACCCAGAATCCAACAGAGGAAGAATCCAACTTTCGGTACGACCTCATGAGCGCATATTTCAGTCGACGCAAATGTTGCGTTGACAAAAATTCGAATGTCCAGGGACCGATGGTAATAATGTTTAATAAATCAAATTCGAATTAGGAAATAAAAGATTAATAATGTTTCCATAACCAGCTGCAAAGTTTTACCCTCAGTGAAACAGAAGTTTGATTTAATCAGGAAGTTTCAGTTGAAAATACGACGTCTAATATTTGATTAATTTTTATCCGATGTCGCAACAAATCCATTCTTAATATGATGAGCTAAATCTCAATTCAGATACAAAGTAGGCAAATTTAAAGTAGGTATTGACGACAATTTGAAATTATTAGTCATATTCTAAAAAATAACGGCAGCACTACGGCGTGTTGGGGCGCGTTATAGGAGACAGGGGATGATTATTATTACCGAGGAGGCTTACGGGAATGTGTAGAAAATGAGTGCACATCATCACAACCGTTACTCAATTACGACCGTGATGTTTACGCAAAGATGTACAATTTGGCTGTAAACGTATTAATGTAGAAATACGTATCTAATAGCCTAAGAAGTGCTGAGAAACAATCCAAAACTGTCAAACTCGTTCTAAAAATTATTCAGGTTCCACCAAAATTTCCAGCAACTAAACTAGGTTTTAAAATTCCTGCCGGAAAAAAATTTATTCGGGAGAATGTAGGGCCCTTCGAGGACATGTCAATTCATGTGGTTATGCGACAATAATATTGTTGCAATGAAACGGTTCATTATTTCAAGAATTGAAAAGTTCTCTTAGCGCTCATTGTGACATAGATTAATACAATATTATTGTTGCAGTTGTACCCAGTGAGCCTCGGCGTCCACTTCTTCAACTACGTAACAAGATTCATGAAAGTTCAACCTGGAAGCCACATGCACAGGCTCGCCTTAAAATCTTGTCCAGTCATCGTCAAGGAGCACCCGTTGCTGTGATGAATATTTCTACGTGGTCATCACTTGGCTTTGAAGAAACATCTGGACTTGTGCATTAAATTCTGAGTGCCAATATAATATCGTATAAGTTCAATCTCCTAAACTCATTTTACGAATCTGACTCTAGATTTATGCATTCTGCGGAATTACACACACTACCTATGTTTAATGTATCTCGAATTAAAGTCTGTAATTTGCACCTCGATTGTATACACAATGTTTATGTGTGAGCACTTGCAATGCGATGAAGTAATATGCAATCTGCACCTCGATTGTATGTATAATGTGTACTTGTGGCAGCTGCTGGACCATGAAGTTACTGTATATGCTATATGCCCCCGATTGTATGTATAGTGTGTGGTTGTGGACACCCGCAATGCGATGAAGCTGACAGCTGGCACAACAGGGGGCACCGCGATTACGTCAATGTCAGTGTACCACAGGCCACCGAACTTGTAAACGAAAGCCAGATGGCCTTGATCGCTCAGCCGTTTAAATCTGATTCTTAAACGACAAGATCACAGAAAAAAGTAATGGTTTTTTTCTTGATCTCGATTGACCCGCAACCTATAAGCATTTTTATGTGTTGGACAAATCCCTTCGCGCACTGCGCAGTTATCTAAGTCATACATATACATATATTTATATAAACGGTTATCTGTGGCTTACGAGCGGAATACAGAAATTTGTAAGCAATGCGCCCTCGATGGTTCACACCCTAAATATGAATCATCGATAACCGGCACTTAAACTTACCACCTTCTCGTTTTAGACGTGTTATTCCGTCTCTTGTTGGCAGGCGTGGCCATCCATCGTTACACTACCTATAATCTACTGTACCTCGCCCTCCTATAACCATCGGTTCGTCACATTTAATTTTTATTTTGACATTTACCTGCATACGCGTGTCTAATTTATGTGTATACGCACGCCCAATTTACCTGTATACGCGCTCTCAATTTACCAGTATACGCGCCAACAGTTTACATGTTTACGCTTTCCAGTTTACTTGGATTCGTATCCCCAGTTTACCTGCACACGCGCCTCCAATTTCTCTGTATTCGCGCACCCAATTTACATGTATACGCACTCGCAATTTACAATTATTCGCGTTACCAATTTACCTGAGTACGCGCGAACAGTGTACCAGTATACGCGCCTCAGTTTACCTGTGTGGTCGTAAATATTCACCCCTAGTAGGAAAGCCCGACCCGCGTCACCGCGAGTCTCGTTCTCTGTTTTTCAGTAAAACAACCTTGGCATGGCTAGAGAGGGGAATTAACCGTATATACTAAGAGAATTCAAAATGAAACCTTACTATTTCAGAAAACAAAATCGGAACTGGTGTGATTGTACTATGTTGAACATAGATGTTAAATTAAAAAAATTGATAATCATATTTCGGAAAATATTAAATTGGCCGGATTGAAATATTATTTTTGGTGTTCGCAACTAACAAAAAATTAACTCATTGAAGTGACCATGTATATACGTTTTCTCGAGTTACCCTCGCAACTCATTTTCTATGCCCCATTGTTAGCCTATCATAATTTAGCGCAGTTACCCGTCAACCCAAGCCTCGACTTCGGTCGACATTTTACAAATTAGCATTGATAAGTACGAACTGTGATCCAAATACCATTGAATATAAGTTAGTAACGCATCCCAAATATTAGAATGGATCTTGTATGATATAATATTGAGTGATACCAGTTTGTCAGACACGTTTACATAACTGTAACAGAACCGTAGGGTGTTTGATGCAAGCAAACTTATGATACGCAATGGAACTTAATGGATTCCAAAGCCTGCTATCTCTCCCATAAATTTACATTCCATAAATTTATATTAAGTTATGGGTAATTTTCAGTTGCAGCAAAACAAAAATAATAAATATTGTGCTCTCTGTGTGTAGTTATTGATTGATGTTTGTGCAGTGGAATAAAATTATGTTGTATTTAAATCATGATAATTATAAATAACCTAATTATCAAACATTTCCGTACATACTCCTTTTTTGCATAATTTAGTCGTCAATTAATGAAGTCCTATCAATTATTTGATTCAGAACTCCTGGGCAGAACTCAATGAATATCGAATTATGAGTATCGCTCATAATCAATCGATCAATCTATCATTGATCGCTTCGAATCACCGACATGTGGAACAGCCTCCCCGATGACATCGTTGGCGCTCCAAGTATGAACGCGTTCAAGAACAGACTAGATAAAGCTATGGAAAAATATATGTTCAGATTTGAAATGCCTAGCACCATATCGAACCCGGTGGAAGTCGAGTAGTTATTTCAAACTTTCGTCAGTCGTGAAAAGATACGGTCAAATGACACGATTTTAGATCTTCTGTGAACACGGCACGAAAATGAAAAGAATCGGCGACAGGCCACATCAGGCCTACACTGCAGCGCCGAGATCACTTTGTTATGTTGTGAGTTAGTTGCCTACTTTGTCACGGTTTCGAAGCAGTCTCGCTCAAATATAAACCGACAATTACTTCTCTTGATAATATCATTCAATTATTAACCTGAATATATTAATTGATATTACGTATCAACGTATTAACCTGAATATATTTCCAATTTGTAATTGCAAATTTCTTAGGTGCTAGACTACGGTGTGCGTATTATTTAGTTTTTTATCGGTTGGAATTGTTATTAAAATATATAGCGCAGGCGACAGGAAATTTTTTTATAATTGTGAATTCGAGTTCCTATCGCCTTTTACGTAATTTTTGAATGGAACAGGAATCACGTAAGTTTACACGATTTAAACATGACCGTAATGTTGATACATACGAGTTTATATGCGAATTTTGCTCCCAATTAAATTGTTCGGCAGTATATCTTGATCACAACAAATCAAGGCTAAATAGTCTAAAAAAAGGTACCAAAGCTTGAAACAACATCACGACAAGCAATTTGTTGACATAAGTTAATGCACAAAGTTTCAATTTAATTTTAGCGTGTTCAGCAGTTTAGGAGAGAATTTTTGACTCAATCGACAATTTTACGGACCCGCCTGCGGACTCGCCTGCGGACTCGCGCAACTGGGCCGCTCATAATTCCTTCAATACTTAACGGATCTGCATGAATTTTGAAATATGTGTATTAATTATCGATACGCTGCCGCAGGAATTATTACAGATTTTTACATTAATTATTTTTTAATTAAAACCAATAATCGTATTTTTAAGCAACTGGGCCGCTCATAATTCCTTAAATATTTAACGGATCTGCATGAATTTTGGAATGTGAGTATTAATTATCGATACGCTGCCGCAGGAATTATTACAGATTTTTACATGACTTCTTATTGGGTTAGGTTAGGTTAGGTTAGGTTAGGTTAGGTTAGGTTAGGTTAGGTTAGGTTAGGTTAGGTTAGGTTAGGTTAGGTTAGGTTAGGTTAGGAAATAATGCATGCAAAAATCTGTAATAATTCCTGCGGCAGCGTATCGATAATTAATACTCACATTCCAAAATTCATGCAGATCCGTATTAATACTCATATTCCAAAATTCATGCAGATCCGTTAAGTATTGAAGGAATTATGAGCGGCCCAGTTGCTTAAAAAATACGTTTATTGGTTTTAAGCAAAAAATAATTCATGTAGAAATCTGTAATAATTCCTGCGGCAGCGTATCGATAATTAATACTCACATTCCAAAATTCATGCAAATCCGGTATTGAAGGAATTATGAGCGGCCCAGTTGCGCGAGTCCGCTGGCGAGTCCGTAGAATTGTCGATCGAGTGAATTTTTGTGCCACGTAACCGGCCGCGGAAACGTCTGAATGACTTTAACTAAACTATATCCGTCCATTAGATAAACCTGGAACCTGATTATGAAGATAATAACTATTACTTAGAGTTTCAAATTTCAATTAACTCCATCATTTATGCTTGTATCAATTACTAATAAATGTATTCCTTCAGTTACTCGTATAAGTTTATATGATTTATACATGAGTGAAAAAATATAAGAAGTGAAAATATGTACTATAGTTTTGTAAAAGTTCATGACCATTTCATTTGAAGAGAATTTCAGTATGAATTTTTTTCCAACCTCTTCGTGAGCACGATTCAATCCGAGATTTAACATATATAGATTTTGGCGCCAAAATTAAAAATTTCTAATTATTTAATATTTATTGTGGAAACTTCGTATGAACCTGCAGGTCATTTTAATAAATACCCAAAAATAAAAAAAAAATTAAAATTAACTTGCCTTATTGAAAGAAAGTTAATCAAAATTTGTTGTATTAGGCTTATCATCTGCTGCTAACGTAGGAAATAGGTCGTAGTACTCTGTCCTCATGCTCAGTGTTGCCAGATGGGCCTTTTTCAGGCCAAATTTCGCAGATGTGGCCTTTTTTAAAGGCATTGGCCTGACAAAAATTAAATTGGCCTTTTTATCCGTTTTGGGCCTTTTTTGTGAGTCAAATTGGCCTTTTTCTCTTGGCTCCATCTGGCAACCCTGCAGTCATGCAGTGAGTCATGCTGCCTTGCATTACAGTTACCTGTTGAGTCAGACGTGAGGCGGGTGGTGAACAACCGAGTCCTCATAAAAACGGATCCGAAGAAGAAAGTTACCTGTTACAGTTACACTAAGTCCTACACATAACACATTGCCTTCGTAATTCTTGTACCAGACAGCCAGTATTTTTTCACACAAACACTATTTTACGCGCACAAATTACGACTGTGTAATATGTGTTTAACTGTTTAGGTCACAGAACAATGTGAAAAAATGTTCTATGGAGGACTAGGCTAAACCTCTAAATATAACTTGTAAAGAGCTGTGTTTCACGAATCATCCTAATATTATAAGAGTTTTGAACAAAAGAATTCTTTTTCCTTGCACTACTAGACTACTAGAGTGCAGACTACTGAATAAATATTTTTGGTTGATGTGGCTAATTCTGACCTACCTACTGTTGTGCTGCATCTTGGCCACATGAAAATACCAATTCAGTTGTAAGTGAAATGGTAATATATATTTTTATTTAGCTAATTTGAGAATTGGAAATTTGGAGTATGCAGCTTCAGAATGGCAATAGCCATTCAGGAAAATTGGGCCGAAGGCTGAAACAACCTATCAATATGAGCAAGAGAGTGAAGAGACCTGTCTCACAGGGCAATGGCCAATGAGGGCATAGTAGACCATTCATCAGATATGGTAGGCTACTGCACTTATCAATTTTTATCATGCCACTTATGGCTAAAAAACATATTTTAGCATTAATTATGCTGTTCAGGATTGAAGTTTTAACGATTTGATTGCCACATAATGAGTACAAAGCTATTTTGGTCCTTCTATAAAGCTGTGGTTCAGTTATTTTTACATATTTGATGTTTTCAAATGAAGGTAGGGTAAACGCGGTATATTCCGACATCGTGGGTAATTCCGTCACCTCTCCAGCTTTTCCTTTATATTGAGCTTTGTTTTAGTTCCATGCATTTGTTGATGGTTGAAATGGTGACGTCGTACATTTACGCGTCAAAATACTGCCAAAACACTAGGTCTTGGCGGCCTTGGCCATCTAGTGGGAAAATATTGAGATCCAAAGAGAGACAATGCATGCCACCTGGTGAGATCATCAAAAAATGTGTCAAATTTGACAGTTGACCTTGCTCTCCCAAATAATAGTGAATAGGTAACTGTTTTTATAGGAATAATATTATGGTTTGAGACTTTTAAATACGTCTGTGAATAGGGTAAACGCCGTATATTCCGACACATTAAGGACGCATCAAGAAATGAAAAACTATAAAAAAACGTATGCGTTACGTAAGTTCTGTTGGCTTCACGTGACTCTCAAAACACCTCACTACGCGTCAGCAATGATGAAACGTCACAAAATGTTGCCATATTTATTAAAAAGCCTTTAGAATGGAAACCTACCAAATCCCTATATTCCGTCACTGTGTGTGGCAATATCTGACACGTGGTGAGTCGTATTGCGTCAGCGCTTCAAGTTTAACTGATACATAATGCCGACATCCACGTGTTTGAATTCCATTCGCTGTGTGAGCTGTATTGGGTCCAATTGGGATACAACACGGCTTTGAATTAGAACACTTAACGAATATTGAACACTACTTAATTACGTTTTAAATAACAGCTATTAGGCTTTTAATTAAGTAAATTTCTATTTTTGTACAAAGCTTGGAACGATCTATGTGTGTCCAATTCAAGTTGTGTCAGAATTAGTTTTGATGGGTCTAAATCCATCACTCAACTTAATCATCTATTAATTTATTTACGACTTGAAATCAGTGAATACAAGTTTACTTAAAGGATTCCTAATATATTCACAGACATATTTAAAAGTCTCAAACCATAATATTCTTCCTATAAAAATAGTTATTCACTATTTGGTAGAGCAAGGTCAACTGTCAAATTTGACACATTTTTCGATGATCTCACCAGGTGGCATGCATTGTCTCTCTTTGGATCTCAATATTTTCCCACTAGATGGCCAAGACCTAGTGTTTTTGCAGTATTTCGACACGCAAATGTATGACGTCACCATTTCAACCATCAACGAACGCATGGAACTAAAACAAAGCTTAATATAAAGGAAAAACTAGGGAGGTGACGGAATTACCTACAATGTCGGAATATACCGCGTTTACCCTATATTAGGAATCCTTTAAGTATACTTGTATTCGCTGATTTCAAGTCGTAAATAAATTAATAGATGATTAAGTTGAGAAATGGATTTAGACACATGAAAACTAATTCCGACACAACTTGAATTGGACACACACAGATCATTCCAAGCTTTGTACAAAAATTGAAATTTGCTTAATTAAAAGCCTAATAGCTGTAAATTAAAATGTAATTAAGTAGTGTTCAATATTCGTTAGTGTTCTAATTCTAAGCCGTGTTGTATCCCAATACAGCTCACACAGCGAACGGAATTCGAACATGTGGATGTCGGCATTACGTATCAGTTAAATTTGAAGCGCTGACACAATACGACTCACCACGTGTCGAATATTGCCACACACTGACGGAATATAGGGATTTGGTAGGTTTCCATTCTAAAGGCTTTTTAATACATATGGCAACATTTTGTGATGTTTCATCGTCGCTGACGCGTAGTGAAGTGTTTTGAGAGTCACGTGAAGGCAACAGAACTTCCGTAACGCATACGTTTTTTTTATAGTTTTTCATTTCTCGATGCGTCCTTAATGTGTCGGAATATACCGCGTTTACCCTAGTCTGTGTGACTGACGCCTGAAAAACTGGCTTTTTCAGTCCAGACTCCAGACTGAAGCAGTCCCACTAGTCTGGGTCATTGATACTGGCTATCTGCAACTGCAAGTCAAGTGCCATCCAATTTTGAATTCTTGATGGAGTTGAGACTCGAGACTATCATGCATGCGGGAGTGTTGCTGAAACTTCCATCCAGCGGCAGGCCGGCAGCAGGTTGTGTGTTGCTGTTAAATGTCAATTCAATTTATGCATTGAAATGTAGCGCTTGGGCATGGCAGCCTGGCAGAGTGGTAGCCCAGATGGAACTCTAGTGAGTCTAGTCTTGATCCCACTTCCCAGCACATGCGCATGCCGCATAGTAGGGTAAAGGCGGTATATTCCGACATCGTGGGTAATTCCGTCACCTCTCTAGTTTTTCCTTTATATTAAACTTTGTTTTAGTTCCATGCGTTTGTTGATGGTTGAAATGGTGACGTCATACATTTGCGCGTCAAACTACTGCCAAAACACTAGGTCTTGCCGTCTTGGCCATCTAGCGGGAAAATATTGAGATCCAAAGAGAGACAATGCACGCTACTGTAAAATGGGGTAACTTAGACCACTTTATTTTTTATAAATGATGCCATTTTTTTACTAGCTAAATTAAACTTGAATTGAAACATGCAAAATACAGGTCTATACTCTAGCTTCGCTTACCATAAATTGCTGGCTCCTGCCTTTCATAGTCTTTATGTAATTTAAAAAAAAGTGATGGTCTTTGTTACCCCAGCTCTTGGGGTAACTTAGACCAGGTGGTAAAATCAATTATATTTTTTGGTAAAATAACTCCAAATAACTCCAGGTTTTGGTGCATTGCAGTAGAACTCTTCTAGTTACATATGCAAAAGACAAATTTTAGGAAAGTGTCATAGTTTGCAAATGGGGGGCGCCGCCCCATATTGAGGGAAATGTGACTACCTAATGGCAGCCCTGATGGGGTAATATTGACTGGCTTGGATATTAAGTTAAAATTACCATATATAAGACTCTGTAGAGTCTGAAACATAAAGAAAAAACATAAATAGGCTGTCAAACATAAAATATGTTATGTATGGTAATTTTGTATTAACTCCCAAGCCTGTCTATGTTACCCCGTCAGGGCTGACATTAGGTGGTCTAAGTTACCCCATTTGGGGGCGGCGCCCCCCATTTGCAAACTATGACACTTTCCTAAAATTTGTCATTTGCATATGTAACTAGAAGAGTTCTACTACAATGCATCAAAACCTGGAGTTATTTAACGAACAAATAAAAAAATTGGAGGGGGTACTCTGACAGGCTTTAAATAATAGCTTTTTTTCGTGGGTCACTTTTTTAATTTTTCAGTATTAGGCCTTTAATGCCCATTGACAAAATTTTTCTATGTCAAATAGTTTTTGAGTTGTGGGGGTTTTTGTTAAAAAAACGAAAAGTGGTCTAAGTTACCCCATTTTACGGTACCCAGTGAGATCATCGAAAAATGTGTCAAATTTGACAGTTGACCTTGCTCTATCAAATAGTGAATAACTTTGTATAGGAAGAATATTATGGTTTGAGACTTTTAAATACGTCTGTGAATATATTAGGAATCCTTTAAGTATACTTGTATTTGCTGATTTCAAGTGGTAGTGGTAAATAAATTAATAGATGATTAAGTTGAGAAATGGATTTAGACACATGAAAACTAATTCCGTCACAACTTGAATTGGACACACACAGATCGTTCCAAGCTATGTACAAAAATTAAAATTTGCTTAATTAAAAGCTTAATAGTTGTTAATTAAAAGCGTAATTAAGTAGTGTTCAATATTCATTTGTGTTCTAATTCAAAGCCGTGTTGTATTCCAATACAGCGAACGGAATTCGAACACGTGGATGACAGCATTACGTATCAGTAGAATTTGAAGCGCGGACGGAATACGCCTCACCACGTGCTGAATATTGCCACACACAGTGTCGGAATATAGGGGTTTGGTAGGTTTGCATTCTAAAGGCTTTTAAATAAATATGGCAACATTTTGTGACGTTTCATTGTTGCTGGCGCGTAGTACGGTGTTTTGCAAGTCACATAAAGCAAACAGAACTCAAGTAACGCATACAGTTATTTTTTTATAGTTTTTCATTTCTCGATGCGTCCTTAATGTGTCGGAATATAGGTACCGCGTTTTCCCTATAGTGGAAATATGCATGCCCATTTTGAGGCCAAGTCATGAAGCTTATTGGTCTCTGGCTGGGAATTCCTGATTCTGAATCCTCCAGTCCTCAGTCCTGTAGTAGAAAAAGGTATTTAGGTAGTTTAATCCATGTTTTTGGCAAATTCTGGCCTTTCTAATGAAATTTTTTCAGTAATCACAATGAAATTATGTTTTCTTGTCAATTATGTTGCATATCATCCCTTTTATTCATGCAAACTTCAGAATTATATACACAAAAAATGTCAAAAATACATGTTTTATTGGCATAAAAAAATTGAGTTATAATTGGTGTAGCTCACTACTAGCACATTGTGGGAGACGCATAGTTCAGGTTATTGTTTTGTCAAGCAATCGCAGTAAATTAAATTACCTGATTCATTTATCAATTCAAGTGTAAAAAAGGGCTGATAAGCTATACTATAAGTTACTTTTAAAAAAAATACAATGCAATCAGTTTCTACTAATGCAAAATCAGTTTCCATATTGCATTTGATCACTGCATCTCAGCACAGGAGTGAGAAACTGGCTCAAGGCAGATATGACTGGCAGAAATTAAACTCTGCTTATAGATTTTGCAAAGCTTTCAGAGTCACAAATAAAGTGATGTAAGCATCAAATTCCAGGTCCTCAGACATACAACAAGATACCAATCCAGTCATTTAATAATTCTATACATCAGTTTTCTTCCCTCTATTGATCCAAAAATGTTGAGCCTATTACAGTTCTTGTTTCTAGGTTTTCTAGTTAAATTCAATTCCTGTTTTTTTGCATTACCATCATTACAAATTCATCTCTGATTTTGGTTAATATTAATTTTATTTGCAGTTCACACAAGGATGGAGAAAAGGAATGGGTGATGCTGGAGCTTCAAGGTGACCTAGAGTGCCGCAATAATGAAGCATTGGCTCAAAATTTTATGGGCGATCTTCACTACAATGATGAGGTAAATAAATAGGTCAATTTGCTCACTGACTAGAAACAATACATTTTTTTTGAAGGTTTAAAAATGTTACAAAGATCATTTGCTAATTTTAAAGGCACATAAGTAAAAATGGCATTTCACTCAGATAACACTGAGTGGAAATGCACTATTAATGACTACATGCTAAATTTAATTATTGTCATGTCATTATAAGCATTAGTGTTTGTGTTCAACCCTGTATTCTTCATGCAATTAATACCTATACAATTTATAATTTAACATGTACATAAAAAGGATTTCATTATTTAAGGGAAATTTTGGTGAAATATTTTACTACAGATTGCAAAAGTATACCTACTGCTGTGATGACTGCTACCAATGCCACACTGCTGTCTGGCTTACAACAGTTGATACAAAATTTAATTTTGATTCCAGTGAGAGCTACCAATAGTGCAGCAGGAGATTTCATGATAAAATGGGTTTTAAGTATGCATTTTTTCCTTAATTTCCTCATTTGATCCACTCAAATAAAATGTTTGTTATTCTATTTATTGAGTTATTAGGTTAAATTTCTTGCATTGGTTTGTACATCCATGCAAACCACCAGTGTTGTTCTGCTTTTCTACCACTTGAAATTCAAAAATATATGCTTGGTACAGGGTTTTTATTTGATGAAAATTTGTTTCACAATGGCTTTACCCTGATAGAAATTTATTTTACCTATAAAAGCTAAAAATGGAGTATATATTTACCATTTACAGGCAGGGTTGGCAATGATTAAATCAAAATGATTAAATCATGTGATTAATTCACTTGATTTTTTTATAAAAAAATCATGATTTTTTTTATTTTTTCGATTTTTTTGATTTTTTTTATTTTTTCATATACTTAAATATATTGAGTGGCAGTCTTTAATTTATATTGAGGTATTGTTATTCATGGTTTAGTATAAATGTACTATGAATGACAAATTGGTATATAAACTTGTTGCCTTTAGTGTGTATTAGGTTCCAATAAATTGAATGTTTTTGGTACAGAGGCATCAAGTACTAAATGATATGTTATGCTAACCTCTAGGAAAATAAACTTTCTTCTTTATGTACCTCCATTACTCTTTTATTTTACCTCAAAACTGCTCAATCGGTTCTGCCCCACCCTGTATATTGAGAGGTTGAGATTGTATTGACCTTTTAGGCAATTAGAAAGATTTTCCACCCTAATACGAGTATTCTAACTAGAGTATTTAATTTCAATCTTTAAATATGTGAATTTAAAACTAGAAACAAGACAATTACAATTATAAGACTATATATAAAATAATTAAATGCAATGAATGGATATAAAATATTTGAATTGTGCACATGTTTATTTCAAACAGTATTAGATTTTCTCATAACTTAAGTTTCGTTTCAAGTCGTATGAGGTTTGTTTGGTTATCATTCAGTTTATGTTCAGTTTGGTTTATTGGTCTGAATTAAATGGGAACAGTGCAGTCAGTCACTCAGTCACTGCTAGTCGGTGTGTATAGAGGGTAGAGTCTGGTAGATTTATAGGACATAAAACTAGTAGATCTATTGACAGTGTTGTGCACTGTGCTATCAGCTACCTATCTGTTATGTGACTCTTCAATGTTTAGAAGATCTGCATTCTTGAAGTGTTTTTGTATATTGAAGCCAGTTAAATGGTCAATATTTAGCTCATTACCTTGTTCCATACAAACTTTACACAGCTAATGAATAGACTTACCAATAATTGTTTACCCAAAAATCCCTAAGTGGTAAACACCACCTTGGCCTGTTGGCCATTATTGAAGGCAATAAGTGCCCTTTTTAGCCATCCATTATGATCCATATACTGTTATTGTTAGTAGGCTAATTGCAACATAAAGAAATAACACTTCAAAAATACAAAAAAGTTGAAAAAATAAAAAAAAAAAATCAAATAAATCAAAAAAATCATGAAAAAATAAAAAAAAATCATTGATTTTTGATTTTTTTGATTTAAAAAAAAATCAAAAAAATCACCAACCCTGTTTACAGGTAGCTCAAACATACCTATCAAAGGTGACTGGAATGGTTGTTCAAATTATGCCTCTTCTGCAATGATGGACTGGTATTGGGATAGACCTTAACACTGAGAAAAACTCAAAGATTGCAAATTTTTTATTTAGTTTCTCTCTTGCTGTCAGGTTTTAGTTGACAACAAATAAAAGCAGAGATTGTTATTGGATTAGGTAGTTATTACATAAATCTTTAGTCTCGGATACATTACCTACCATCACCAATGCTATACTCATACCTAGTGGTTTGGGACTGAAAAGTCCTGTCAGTCGCGAAAGGGTTAACAAGCCGAGGTGTCTCTTTATTGATGTATCTCCACATTTAGATGGATCATTACTTGCAGTTAGTGATTTTAATATTTGTTTAAATTACGTACCTGAAATCATCTCTGTCCTCTAACAAATTTGGTTCAATGGTTAGACACTCATGGGCGAAATAAAAAATTCAAAACCAGCAGAGATATGATGATTAAAAAATCATTGTTCTTGTTTGAGGTCGGAATCATTGTTTGAGGTCGGAAAAGATGTGAATTCATTATTCAAGCGTGGATGTGAGGTCGAAAGAGAGGTATACGTATAGAGAGTTATTCATTATTCAAGCTTAGAAGTGAAGTTGAGAAAGAAATATTCATTAATTTTGCCAAGATGTGAAGTCAAAAGAGAGGTATATAGAAAGGTATTCATTATTCATGCGTAGATGTGAAATTGAGAAATAAATATTTTTGCCGTGATGTGAGTTCGATAGAGTTAATCATTATTCAAGCAGAGATGTGAGCTGCTGAAATTGTATTATGGTGCCCTAGATGCTGGAAGGTATATTAATACCAAGATTTAAGTTGATGTGTACTGCAAACGCATTTACAAAAGAGAATTGCCTATTGCATGTATGATCCTCTTTTTTTTTCAAATTAATGTTTTTTAGCGCATTTTCTAATTTATGGAAAAATGCAGTATTGTGCTCGTCTTGTCCGTCTGGCGTCTGTCCGTGACTTCACGTTTTCGTCGACAAGAAAATACGCGCTCTGTCACTCACTGCGTGAGCACTGAGTTATATTTTTTCAAATTTAGGCTTGATGACGCAGATCCTGAGACTATATATAAATTTATGAATTCTAAATATTGTTTTACTGTGCTTATATGTAGTCTCAATTTTAACAACAAAATTAGGAATTTATGAAGATAAATTTTCAGAAATTAAAGATCAACTTCCACATCATTGCTTGAAATTACTTTTCTATCGTCATGTGGGATTTTTAATTGCGATATTCCAGTAAAGGTGGTCCGGGGATCCACTTGAAGAGAAGAGGCATCCTGGCGTTCAATCTTTTATTTTCTTCCTAAGTTAATTCACTTGCCTCATTAATTAGATGGCAGTGATATAATTTATTGCCATTCACTTGATTCATTTATGAGCTTGTCACTCTACTGTACAAGATTAGTCGTTTCCTAAAAACATACCTAACACGCGAGTAAATATTTCTATTTATTTTCTTGAAGCAAGCCTTGTTTCATAACTAGTACGTCATTTTTATATTTACATGCTGGCAAATTTAGAATAAAAGTTTCTTCGCCATTTGCCTGTTATATACCTAGTATTATTATCTTTTGCAGGGCGTTCCCGTGCTTATCATTGGGCATCACATCATGTACGGCAAGATGATCAACCTCGATTTACCTTTCGCAGTCTTGGACAAGTCAGAATGTGAAGTTAATTCTCAGCAATTATCAGAAGACTGTCGTAATAATACTAATCGTACTTCTTATAAAGTTATTGCTATTGTTAGAAAAAAGCTTTTATTCAAAACCCGGCCTAAGCCGATTGTGGCCCTTGCAGGAAGCACTGCTTGACTTGTTCATAATAAATTATTTTTTATCAATTAATCGTTTACTGATTTAAATTTTTTGTCAAACCTGACGGGAAGTGCATTTAATTCCATGTATTGAGGAGCCATGTTCAAACTTTTCATTCTGCAGGTGTATGAAGCAATCCATTTTGTAAGTCACTTGACTGTCATTTATAGCTTGATTCTATGTTTTATATATTCTGATCTATGGTGGAAGCATTAATGCTTAGCTTCTTCAATACAACATTTGTGTGCGATAGACATTTCAGATGACGACTTTGTGGGAACATACCTGATTTTAGAGTGTGCTCTGATTTAGACAAGCCATATTTTCGGCCTTTTCGTATCGAATAAATGTTTTATAGGATCAGAACAGTTAAGCTGCTTGGTTTCTAAATCTTGATTATTGACGATATGAGCAGTTTTTCATTAACCAAAGAATGTTTCTGTATTACCGCCGAAAACTGAACAGATCGAGCAATATGATCTATTATTAAAACCGATTTCATCAGCCAAATATCGAGCAAGTTGTACTAGTGTTAGCAATTTTATGTCGACGGTAGGTAGGTTGTCAATTCTTAATACTCTTGGAGGGTTATATCAAGTTGAGAACTGCACCGCAATCATCTTCGCTGATTGTTCTGCGTCAAGATAGAGTTCGACACTAGGCTTTCTTACCTTAGCCAAGCCACCTTACAGCCAAGTCGTTTCAATTATTGAGGTAATTTTTCTTTAAAGATAACTGAATTTCGTCCGAATTTGTTAATTATTCAGACCTAAACCGTTTCTGGGTTATCAAGTCAAACCGACGTAGTACAATGTTAGTTACTTATTCTTCTCTGATTGTGCATTCTGGTGGTTAACTTGGTTAAAAATTTTCATGAAAAGTTCATCATTTACGACAATATTAGTTATTAGTACAATTTGTAAGAATATTGTAGGATAGGCGAATTTGTCAGTTTGTGTAGATTAAAATGGTCAACTCGATCTGGAGCGAGTAGTTTGCAAGAAATTTTATTCTGATGTGAAGTGCAGCACAGAAACAAAACGTAAAGGTTGCGTTTCTTCGCCGAGTAGAATAGCTTCCATACACCGATCCGCCGAGGCCAATAATAAAATACTTTTCAGCTCATTTCTCACTACACTGTAAAATAAATTCTTATTTGGTTCCTGAATCGCAATGTGTACAACAAAAACTGTACACCAATTCGTTTCTCATCGATACGTCATCTTTCGTAGGATTCGTACACAGGAACGAAAATAGTTCCAAAGACAGCACCTGGAGCTGGAGAAAGTGACTTACTTGAATAGTGTCGCTTTCCACGTTATTGGAGTTGCGCTTTGAATGGATTCTTAGTTTAAAATTTTTCCGAAATGTTCATCATTTGCGACAGAAATATTTTAATAATACAAGTAGTTATAATGTTTGCCAGGCGAATTAGTCGGCTCGTGTAGATTTATTACAGCTGACCCGATCGAGAGCGAGAGGGTAGCAAGAAATTTCAATATGTTGTGACATGCAGTGCGTGAAAAAAATTAAAATGTAATTAATTAACTTTGTATTGAAACAGAATAAACAAGATTTCAGAAAACTACTAACTACTTGAAGTCGAAGTTTAATTGTTCAATGAATTGGGCTGCAAAACTTGGTGCATGGGTCTTCCGTGCATTTAGTTGTGTGGCATTTACTGTCTATTGCTGTTACCGATTATTCGGTAGTTGGAACCGATTAGCCTGTTTAAACAGGTTCTTAAGGAATTTAAAAGCAAAGACAATTTCGAGTAAATTTAACTTATCATCATAGAAATCGTAACGGATACCAGCTCCATCATTAGTTATAGAGAAATCCAACTATTCTATAGAATACCAGGATAATCAGCAGGTAAAATCTAGATTACACGAAGGATGTCGAATTCCACCCACGGTGGTTCGGATTTAGGGATTTTGGAAGGGAGCGGAGCCGTGCACCTCGCATAGAATCTTCCTCCGGCATCGCATAGAACCTGCCGTGCACCACCAGAACGCGGATCGAAAATGACTTCCGGGCATCGTTAAATTACGTAATTTTACGTCCACCGCATCTGAGGTTAGGTTTCAGATAGCATAGTTCTGTTTCAAAATTTATCGTCCTTCGACAAGTGGCCGTTCGACCGAGGGCTGGTTCGACCCACGGCCTAGATACGGACGGCTTGAAGTGTTGAAGGCTACATTCCGGAAGGCAGGAATCATGATGGTCCATTACATCCACGGCAGTGGTGGTCTTCGGCAGGCGACCCTTTTGGAATAGTGTATTTTAAACTGAAATCTTCTTTTAATAACGCGTACAGTTCTTATCCTCTACCGTAGCCGTTGGAAATAAATCGGTTTTATGTTCTGTTTTTGGCATTTTCTCTCGACTGGCATTCTCTTAGCTGATAGTGATGGTAAATGTTTTCTCAAAATTTTCAAGTGACGAAGAAGCTGGCATGCGAGAAACGTTTTCACGGAAGATAGGGTGAATTTACTCGGTATTTTTCTTTCCTTTTAAAAGATATATATAAAAATAAAATATATATAAATATTAAATATATATTTACGTATATATATTTAAATCGGCGGGAGGTGAATTTTTCGTGTTGGGTAGATGTGGTGCATTCTTTACTGTGCATAAAATTCAGTTGAAGTATTTTTCTCTTATAAAAATAGCACGACGATCGCTGGAAAGCAAACAAGCTTCTCGAAAAGAGGGTATGTTAGTTCTGAAGAGAGGAGAGTGAAGAGTAGGAGAAAAGGGGGCGTTGGATGAAGAGGCATCATTTCGCGCAGGAATCGATGGTGACGAGAGCCTCGGCGCACTCGGTGCCGCTTCATACTTTTGGCAACTAGCCGCAGTGACGCTCGCGTACAGTGTGTTTCTGGATATCTCTATGAGTTTTGTGTGCTTGCCACTGGGAATTTAAGTGATTTACAAGTTATTCAATTACACAATAGAAACTTTGTCAATACCGCGTAATTATACCATTTGTTAGCGCCCTCCTATGCCTTGTTAGTCTCTACGAAACAAAGTAAACAGACGCGGCTCACGAAAGAGTTCAGCCCTGTGTTCGCGCCAAATATCTCGCTCGCGGCTCTGCTTTTGGAGGTCACGCATTTTGAACGCGTTTGAAGCTAAGAGACTTCAGTCAACAAATTTTTTTCATTAAGAATCAAAGCTTACGAATCATGTTATGGTATTAAACAATTTATTCGCAATGAATTACATAACAAAGGAATAATTTCCTGCGCAATCGGCGTTCGGGTCACGGCCCAACTTTTTTATCATCTGAAATAAATTGAAGTTGTTGGTCAATGGTCAAAATTTACATCAAGGAGGCACAGTCAAGAAAATTGTTTTTTTACAAGGAATAGTAAATGGATGTGACACCGTCGAGTCATACATGGAAAAATGTAGGCGCATCTATTTTATGCTAGTGTTCACTGTTAAGTTAAGTTCATGTATATTCTTCTCATAAATAATATATTTTTTGCTGTGATATCCTCATCCTACTGCCTCAAGCGTTGCCGTCGTTCATGCCTGCAACATCAGCCTGATTATTCGCAGAAAAAAAATCAAAATTTGCGTTTTGTAAGAAACTGCTGATTATTTTTGTAGAATAAATGTTCCAAGATGATTCCTCGCCTGATGTAACTATAATCTTTTTAAGGCGTAAAGAAGTTGTAATTTTAATCTGAAATTAAATTTTAGGTTCATGCATTTATTTTGTTGCGAGTTCATTTTCTACATCATTGTTTACATTGTCACCATGACAACGCCTGGAGCTCGTGTGTCTCGTTGTTTCGTCATTCACTGCTCGATGACGTTGGAATGTATAATTCTAATATTATATTAGATAATTATGATATAATGTCTAGGTTTTCTACACTTCGACGAATTGATTTTTTAACCTATCATGAATGTAAAATCTACTTTTCAATTATTTATACCCAGAAGCGCCGAAGAATTATTCTGCATTTTCATTTAATGGACACTCATTACTTTAGAAACTGGATAAACAAAGAATCATTAAATATAGGTATTTGTTTTTCGAATGAACAGTTTATTGGTCTGTGTAAAAAATGATTGCGATCCTCGCGATGTCTATATAGAATCGGAAAGAGAGGTGTCGCTTGCACCGGTCGGGTGTCATACCACGAACTTTTAGGGATGGAATTTCATTGCAAATTCTCCACACATAACTTTATTATTAAATCACGACAACTGCGTGAAAGCTAAGTGGTCAGAGATCTTCCTGGCAACGCAGCAGGAGCATATTGTTACTAAATCGCTTCGCTGTTAATTAGGTCATGATCGGTCTCGATTTGCAAAACTTATGAGTGTAAAAAGCGCTAAGACATTGTCTTTAAAACTCTAATCAAAATCGTAGCGGACAAAAAAATATAATATTGATAAAATAAATTCAACAGTACTCGCAGGAGCGTAGTGTCAAATTGCAGCTCGCTGTTGATTAGTTGAGAATCGGTTTGCATTTGCTAAAATTATGCATGGAAAACGTGCTATGAAAAATGGTCCCAATAGTGTCCGAGCGGTGTATACCTCAATTAGCAAAAATTTTGATCGGCTTCCCAGATAATTATGAAATAAATGAGACGGTCGATGAAACCAGTCAAAAGCTTTGACCCTGACCCGATTATCCCATTTCAGAATCTTAACATGAAACGATGGATCATCGTCAACGACGTCAAGTGATGTATAAATGAAAGTAAAGAGCAGTAGCAGAAAGATACAGCGGACGAGCTTGTTTTTAGCGTATTTTCTCATTTATGGAAAAAATGCCCTATTGTGCTCGTCATGTCCGTCCGTCCGTCTGTCTGTCCGTGACTTCACGTTTTCGTCGATTCTGAGCAAATGCGCTCTCTGTCACTCACTGCAGTGAGTACTGAGTCATATTTTTTGATCTTTTGTGCTGCACTTGCATCCAGCCGTTTTTATTTCGTAGGCGTTATTTTGATTAGAAGGTCTGACCTGATTTAAATACTTGAAGTAAGTCGAGACTAACTGTTAATTGATATGCTGAACTGATAGCATAAGAATTAGTCCACGCCCGCACTCGATTTAGTTGCATAACTGATTTCAGGCTGTGATATAATCTGCTTACATGTGCACGAGCTTGTTAATTTAAGCCGCTGGACTCAATATCACTGGATAAACCTGAAATTTGCTCACTATAATATAAACCTCGACTTAAACAAACAAGGAAGTCAATGACTAGGTGGAGATCGACTTCATGGCCTTCTCTAATAATATTAAATTTCATTGCCAATCTTTTCGAGGGAACAAGGACCTTCAATTATTTTTTTAGGAACGTTACCTATTGTTTCAGCATTAACTATGCACAATCTTGCTGGGAATGACGCTAAAAAATTTTTGCAAGTTCT